GAAGTAGGATTGCCCAACCTTCCTTCCGAGGAGTGGCTGGTGGGTTTGAACCGCCAGCCTTCTGGTTAGCAGTCAAGTGCCTTAGCCACTATACTACCAGAGCTCCCATGTTCTTGGATACACTCCCCATCTCATAGATGTACCTAGTCATTCAGCCTGTCCACCCATCTATCCACCCATATACCCGTGTTTGCCTTCACTGACAACGCAGTACTGTATATGCAAAAGGGGTCATGTTTGTTGTCTGTACTGTTGAGGATTTTTATAGTTGTATTCATAAGAGATATTGGTCTGTAGTTTTCCTTTTCTTGTGGTGTCTGTGTCTGGTTTTGGCATCAGAGTAATGCTCATCCCATAGAATGAGTTAGAAGTGTTCTTCCTCGCCTGTTTTTTAGAAGTTTAAGGCGGCTTGGGGTCACTTCTATAAATGTTGGGTATAATTCTCCAATGAAGTCTTCTGGTCTAGGATTTTTCTTTTGGGAGGTTTGATTACTCATTGGGTCTCTACTAGGATTTCCTATTACTTTTTAAATTAATTTAGATAGTTTATATGTTTCCAGGAATTTGTCCCTTTCATCTGTTATCTAATTTGTTAGCATACAGTTGCTTATAATATTCTCTTATGATCCTTTTTGTTTCTGTAAAGTTGGTAGTAATGGCTCCACTTTAATTTCTGGTATTTGCATCCCCCCTCCCTTTTTTTTTTTAAATCTCTGTCATTCTAGTTAAAGGTTTGCCAGTTTTATTAATCTTTAAAAAAAAACAATTTCTGCTTCACTGGTTCTTTTTTCCCTACTAGCAGTTTAATTTATTTTTGCTCTTATCTTTATCTTCACCCTTCTGTTTGCTTTGAGTCTGGTTTGCTCTTCTAGTTCCTCAAGATATGAAGTGAGGTGATTGATTTGTCACCTTCCCTTTAAATGGAGGCATTTACACTTAAGTTTCCCTCTGAGCACTGCTTTTCCTGTATCCCATAAGTTTTAATGATTTCATTTTGACTTTCTGATTTCTCTTGAATTCCTGATCTGTTGGTGGTTTAATAGTGTGTTGTTTAGTTCATATATTTGTGGATTTTCCAGTTTTCTTTCTGATACTAATATCTAATTTCATTCCATTATGGTTGGAGAAGGAGCCCTGGTGTCACAGTGATTAAAGTGCTTCCCCGCTAACCAAAAGGTTGGTGGTTTGACTCCACCAGCTGCTGTATGGCAATCTGTGTTCTGTAGATTTACAGCCTTGGAAACCTTGTGGGCAGTTCTGTTCTGTCCTTTAGGGATATCATGAGTCAGAATCGACTTGATGGCAGTGGGGTGGTGGTCAGAGAAAATACTTTGACTTGAACCACTTCAAATGTATTGAGACTTTGCTTTGTGACCTCTGACTGTGGTCCGTCCTGGAGAATGTTCCATGTGCACTGGAGTACAATGTGTATTATGCTATTGGGTTTTGTGTTCTGTACATGTCTGTTAGGGTGGTTGTTGTTAGGTGCCGTCGAGTTGTCTTTGATTCATAGCAGTCCTGTGTACAGCAGAACGAAACACTGCCCAGTCTTGTGCCAGCTCCACGATCCTTGGTATAACTGAGCTCATCATGGTAGCTACTATGTCAGTCCATCTTGTTGAGGGCCTTACCCTTTTTCGTTAACACTCCACCTGTAATGTTTTCTTAAGAACTATTTTTGGGTTTGATGCTTAGGAGTTAAGCTTTAGGAGAATGTGCTCACCTAGCACATGTGCTCAGGCAGCAGGTATCCACTGTGCTGTGCCTCCTCCCACGTGGCCATGGTTGGTATGAGGTCCATCTTGCTGTCCCTGTACCCAGTTTGTGGGATTGGAGGCAAAGATCACTCTGAGGCCAGTCTGAGTTAGCATGGCAACCAAGAGTGCCTTGCTGTCAAAGGTGAAGAAAAGCTTTGGCTCCCACTTGGGGAAAGAACATACATGTGAAAGGGGACCATGTGTGATGCTGGCACCAACTCTACCTGTGTTTGCAGGGTGTCAGGTAGGAAGTGTGAAGGTAAAGAGGCCAAACATTCTGAAGAACCAAAACCTCGAAAGAAACCAGGGCCCAAACCAGGCTGGAAAAAGAAACTCCGGTGTGAAAGGTGAGGAGCCGTGCTGCACATGAACATGTGAGTGGATGCAGCTATGGGAGAGGTGTGTGTGTTTTGTGTGTGTGATCGGGGAGGGTGCATGTGTGGGTAAGTCTGTGCATGCAGGTGGGTGTGGGGCATGAGTGCAGGTGTGTTGGGGTGTAGGTGGATATAGACATAGGTGTGTATGTGTGGATGAGGGCAAATGCTGGTGGGTGTGGTATGTCTGCACATATGTAGGTGTGCACATGCATGGGTGTGCATGCACATGTTTCCTCTCTGCCCTGTAGGGAGGAGCTGCCCACCATCTACAAGTGTCCTTACCAGGGCTGCACAGCTGTGTACAGGGGTGCTGACGGCATGAAGGTGAGCCAAGGGTCTGCTGCAGTGTGTGAAGGTGAACCCAGGTGCCATGTTCCTGCAGTCAGGTGCAGGATGCTAGCCTAGGACTAACATGCAGTGGCCCGAGGGGCGGCCAGCTGTCTGCCTGCAGCCTGGGGAAAGTGAAGCTTTGAAGAGAGACTGCTAGCAAGGCATGCTTGGTTCTGTCCTCCTTCTGGGTGGGCCCACCTGCCCATGTATGGAGCAGGTGGCCCTGGGAAAGGTGGTGCTGTCTTGAGCAGGGCTCATGGCTTGATGATCCCACAGAAGCATATCAAGGAGCACCATGAGGAGGTCCGTGAGAGGCCCTGCCCACATCCTGGCTGCAACAAGGTGTTCATGATTGACCGCTACCTGCAGCGCCACGTGAAGCTCATCCACACAGGCGAGTATGGCAGGCCACCCAAGAGGCTGCCTTGTGTAAGGTGGCAGTGAGTCCTTAGCCATGGCTCTTCCATCCCCCTGCCCCGCCTTTCTCACTAGGCTTTTTAGTCAGCTCTAGAGAGGGGTACGCAGTGAACCAGGTACATGGAAAGTCGTCAGACAGGTGATTCCCTGTGTGGAGTCCTCCTGGAAGCTGTCTCCATAGCCCTTGGAGCCCTATCATTGTGTTATTTTTGCATCACGAAAGTAAAGCATGGGAATACAGAAACCTTAACAAACAGCAAAAGTGCAGGGGAGACAGTATACGCTCCTCAGCCACACCCCTAAACCTCCACCTCATGTCCCTCCCTCTGCTCACCTCACACAGGGTTCTTAGAGTCCCTAGTCCCGATCATCACAATGGCACAAATGAACAAGCAGGAGGGCTGGGATGGGGCTGTGCCCTGAGCTTCCTCTGCTGAGCAGTGCAGTGTTCTCATGAAGCTTTGCACAATGATTTCCTGGGTTCCTTTTTTGCTCTGGCGTTTGTAGGGTTCATTTACTCACCAAGTCATCTACCCCTCACTGGGTCACCTGTACCTGAGGTGCTACCTCAGTTAATCTTTGTCACTGCACATATATGTTGGCTCCAGGATCTTTGAATGTGCTTGTCATGGTATTTTGAAAAACATGAGGCGGGACAGGATAGATGACACCTATTCAAAGAGAGGATTTCCCTTGTAAAATTTTTTGTCTCAAGAGTCTATAGATGTGTAGTCACAGGTTTGTGAAGTATAATGTGTGGAGAGGAATGTGTGAGCTGTTTAGGGAAAACGTCTGGGAGTGGAGTTTGTGGGCATGGGATACGTATGTGTGTGTCAAAGTTCAATTTTTGCTTTAGAGTGTGAGAAGTTATTTCCAAAACATTAACCTGTTTATTCTTCATGGCTGCCCCCCACCTGTTACTGAGGCTGGTTTCTTATAGTAGCAGCTGTGATGATCATTTGAAGCCTCATTAAAAATCTGTTCAAGTTTATGTTAAAAACAGGCTTGAAGTGCACTAATCTATAGGGGTGTCCCAGCCACATGTACATTTCAAGTGATGTGGAAGCTGGTTAGTTATCAGCCACACCTCATCTTGTACAAATATGAACTTGCTTTTCTTGAGGATGACATTTCCAGCTGTCTTTCCCATGAGGAGGTGAGGGTGCCGACCTGTGTCCCTCCTTTGGTCCCTAGAGGTGCGGAACTACATATGTGATGAGTGCGGGCAGACCTTCAAGCAGCGCAAACACCTCCTTGTGCACCAGATGCGTCACTCGGGAGCCAAGCCCCTGCAGTGAGTGGGACCCTACTGTGAACTGGCAGTCTGTGTGTGGTGTCTCATTGGGTATGGGGTTTTGTCTGTGTCATCCTTGCAAATCCTTCTCACCCTCACTGCCTCTCAGGTGTGAAGTCTGTGGGTTCCAGTGCAGGCAGCGAGCCTCCCTCAAGTACCACATGACCAAGCACAAGGCTGAGACTGAGCTAGACTTCGCCTGTGACCAGTGTGGCCGGCGCTTTGAGAAGGCCCACAATCTGAATGTCCACATGTCCATGGTGCACCCTCTGACACAGACCCAGGACAAAGCCAGGCCCCTGGAGACAGAGCCCCCCGGGCTACCAGGTTCCCTGGGGAGAGGGGAAGGTCAGGCCGTGAAGCCCGAGCCCACCTGAGGCCAGCAGGTGGGCCAGCTCACCAGGGCTCCACAGGCAGGAAGATGGTCTCAGTCCTCAGACCAGCACAGCTCCCGCTACTCCACATGCTGTGCTCAGCAGCGCACACCAGTGGCAGGTGCCATTCCCCTCAGTGGTGGGGTCTCCACACATGGCTGTGAGCCCTTCTGGCTGCTCAGTAGGACCAGCAGTTCTTTTCTTACAAACACGTGAGCGCCTTGGAGCCAGCTCAGATTTTATATCATTGATGATTCCTCCTGCTAAAGCAATCCGGGATGTTTGTAAACCACTTTGTCTTTTAACAGGAGCCCTAACCCTGTGCTCACGATGAATTAACACAGCAGACAAGCTGGGGAACACCTCAGCCCCCAGGCGCACTCAGAAGAGCTGGGGCTCCTGGGACAGGGCTAGGTCGGACAGAACTTGCTGCCTGCTCTGGAGGACAGTGCTCATTTCTGGGTCCAGGTCCTTGGTAGTGGCTAACAGCTGCAAAAAAAACATAGTCAGCTGTGTAGGCCCTATGGGTTAAGTGGCAAGCTGACTGACACCTGGAGGCCAAGCCCCAAGCTCACTGATTGGGCATCAGAGCCTTGGTGGTGTCAGATTTGGAAACAAAGTGAGCATGAAGCTGCAGTACCTCGGCCATATTGGAGAAGCTCCTGTCTGAGCACCGAGGTATGAACTGCAGCAGAAAGACACGCGCCTTTGTTATCAGCCCCAGTGGATCGTCCTGAAGGAAGACCAGCACAGGCGAGTCAAGTGCCCTGGGCCCACCATGACACAGCAAGCCCAGGGCAAGACGGATGTATCCACTCCGCACCTGTTGTTGCCCCCACTTAGCAGAAGGGGCTGTGGTAGGGGGCTGTCTGCACAGGGACTGCCACAGGCCCAAAGGCACCGCCTGGCCGATGATACCTGGCTCCCACACTTGCCTGGTCCTGCTGTCTCTGAGCAGCCTGAGTCAGGAAGGTGCTTGTCTCCCCAGCCAAAAAGAGCTGCATCAGCTTCAGGTACATGTTGACAGCAACGTGCAAGAAGGTGTCCTCCCTGATCAGGGCATTGGGGTCGAGGTAGGGGAGTAGGCTGAAGGTAAAAACATGCACAGTGCTTGATTATGTCAGGTGTCACATGCACAGAGGAGGGTCATGGGACTGGGGGGGGCTGGCCTCATGGAGAGACGGGTTCAGCACACTACCTGAAGAAGGCAAGCGGCAACAGCCTGATGTGGTGGTCGGAGGCCACTCGGAGCAGCACCTGGCCCAGCCCTGCCTCTGAAACACAGGATGACAGCATTCACTCTTGGTGCCAGCACCTCTTGCCCCCAGTCAGCACTGGAGCTCCTGGGTTCTGCACCATGGGGAAGCCTGAGCCTAGCTGTAGCAGGGGGCCCCTCTCCCTAGGATAAGCAAGATGGTCAGATGGACATGTCTGACCCCTGGGGTTTCTCATCATAATGCTCCAATAAATTTTTTTCTTTTGCTTAAAGGAGTTTATACTGAGTTTGTCTTGTCCATCTGCAACGTAAGCTTGTTGTTAACCATTTGGAAGTTGCTTCCAAACAAGATGATACAGAGTATGGGAGCCACATGGGCACCTCTGTGCCTCCTCCAACATCCCCACACCCATGCTCTGCATCCCATGGTGAGCCAGCTGCAGGAGAGCCACTGACATCTAATGGCCACAGGGTCCTCACCTGTCTCTGTCAACTGGAAGAGGGTAAGCCAGGGTACCCTCCTCCTCTCCATACACCTGAGGATCTCAGTGCACATGGCCATCAGCTTCAGAGGGTCAACAGCTTCCTGTGACACAGCAGGACACTAAGCACCTACCAAGGCCCCGACGCCCACCTGGGGGGTGAAGGGTGTGGAGAGAGACCCACATGCACGCTGCCTTGTGCCTTCACACTGCTAGGGATAGCAGGGGTGTATATGGGAGCCCAGCAGGAGCCTGTTACTGCTCCAGGCCTCACATGGTGACATCTACACAAGAGCCAGGTGTGGGCCTCCTGGTGGGAGGGGCTCAGGCAGGGCTGGCCCGGAAGCAAAGGGACTCTCCTTGTCTGCAAAGAAGCCTCCAGAGAGTCCAGGACTCACGTTCCGTGCCAGGTGTGCTGAGAGCAGGCTTATCACAGAGAAGAAGAGGAGGGACAACAGCACCTGCCAACAGAGCACAACAGTGTTGGTGCCACCTCCCCACACAGTGAATGTGGTAAGACAGTGCCTCTTAATGCTCTCCACACCTAACCCTAACCCAAAGAGGGCTTTCTCCAGAGGGAAAACTTGCAATGGCTTTTAAAGGGACATGATGAACTATGGGGTCATTTTACATGTTCCTTTAAACACTGCTACAACCAGTTCCACAAAGCAGATGGAGCTGTCCTCAGAACAGCACCTCAACCCCATCCAGGTAGTGTTTGCAGAGCCCCTGCTGAAGGCAGACTGGCTCCAACAGACAGGCCAGTACCCCACTGTCAGGAAGTGGCCCAAGCATGGAGCCTCATCACATTCCTTCCAAAAAGGTACAAAAACCTGAAAATAAACTCAAAAGCTCTCCTGCTAGGTTGTAAATTATGATGGCAAGGGGGTTCAGGTGGGGTGACCAGGGGGTCTACAGACATTGTATTTGCAGGCAAGAGGGGAGGGGACCAGGGGTCTCACCCATCCCATTCATGTTTCCATGTCTCTGCTCTTCCTTCAAGAGGCCCCAGACCTCTCACACCACTTCCTGGTACAAGGTGGGGGTGCCTTGGTTAGGGGCTCTCTAGGCTGGCAACCGAGCAGACCCAGTAAGAAGGTCCAGATGGGGCTGGGCTCCCATGGGTATTTTGAGGCTGCCAGCTTAGAGCCAACCCCCTGCACCGACCCACATCCCACCCTTCTATCCCCAGGCAGAGCTGGGAATGGGTTAGGCGCCCTCAGCACAGGCAGCTCCAGTTCCTCCCTGGCTGTGCTGAGGGCGACATGGGCTAAACAAAGGCACTGCAGAGATGAAACTGTTCTCACCAGCAGGCCTGGGAATCAAAGTCTTACTCAACCCCATACGTACAGTTTTATTTCCCATCAAGGGTTAAGACCCCAGACCCACTTGTCCTTGCTGGTTAAGACATGGACTGAACCTGCTTGCTGAAAACTGACATGCAAAAGCTTTGTCTCTTGCCTCGTCTGGTTTGTGGTCCAGCATCTTCAGCTCCCTTCTGCCCTGTTCTCGCAGAGCTTGCTGGATGGCAAAATGCAAGGAGGCCGCAGAGAGCCAGGCTGGGCTGGGGGCACGTGAGGTGGGCAGGGCCATATCAAGGGAAAGGAAGCTTGGGAAACAACAGAGGAACAAAAGAGTGTTTATCAGGGCCATAACCACAACCATGGTGTAGGACCAGTGCTACCCAGGGGCCTGCTGCTGCAACTCAGAACATCCCAGGGTCCCAGTGCTCCTCACTGTCATGGCACCATCCAGGGGCCACTTCCCCAGGAGAAGGAACCCTGGGGTCCTGGAAGAGTCTGTGAGAGTCTCCAGGGCAGAGACACACCCAAGTCTAAGACCCCCACCCCCATCCCAGCTGCTGGAAATGCCTGTGTCCAACAAAGGCTCCATGTGAGGCTGTCACAAGTGTGGCTAGGTGTTTGCTGCACCAGGGACATGGCTGGGGCTGGGCCCTTGGTCCCCGTGCAAGGGCGCAGTGTGCCCTATAACTTAATGCAGCAGGTCAGAGCCTCTGCACTGTGGGCTCTGACTAGACATGACTCAGTACATCTGCAGCTCTATGCCAGCCTTGGCAGTTATCAAGAGTACTAGCGTATCAGGGATTCCAGACAGTGACCAGTCTTCCCTACCTGCAGGAACATACCACCCCATACTCAGTCTCCCAGGGGAATGTAACTTGACACCAGGTGCCCTGTTAGACGCACCAGCAGGGGTATGGGAGGGTGTGGGGTGTGAGGAAGACTGCTCTTCCCCAGAATGTGATGGGGCCTTCACTCAGGACTCCAGTGTTCTGTTCCCAGTGGGCCTGGCAGGGGTTTTCACAGTGTCTGCTGACCCAAAACGCCCTGGCAGGGCTCTGAACAGGTGCCGACCATCACAAGCACCCCGTCCAGCCAATGAACTTACCTCTTGGCCAGGTCCTGGACCTCTGCCAGCTGCTGCAGCGCTTGGGGCAGTGGGCTTTGCGAAAGCCGCCTCCACTGGCATGTGAGCACCGGCTCTAAACGTGGCCACCACCTCTGAGGAATGAGTGACCATGAGGAGCCCAGCCAGCAGTGCCCCTACCATGACACCCCCTTAACAGCCACCAGTCCACACTTCGTGACATCAAATTCAGTGTTTTGTTTATCTCCTTGAGGCTCATGTAGCTCTGTGGGGTGTCCAAACCCTCACAACAAGAAGATACTGAGTTTTTTTGGTGGGGAGCACTGCCTGAGGAAACGCCAGCTGGCCTGGAACTTGACAAAATGCTCAGGACTTCAGGGAATGCACTGCTCTGAGAGGAGCCTCTGGAACCAAGTCCACGTGCCCTCCCCACCTCCTTGACCCTGGAATGTTAGGTCGTGGAAGAGTCAAGAAGGCTCAGGCAGGGAGCTGAGGTGGTCTCTGCGCTCCTGAGAGGTGGCAGATGTTAAATTACACTCACGGGAAGGAGAGGCTTGAAGTTGCCGCTCAGTGCGTATGGAACTGGTTAGTGAATGAACAAATGAATGAGTGAATGACTGAATGCACAGCATCAGGGTGTGAGTGAATCAGTGAACGAATAAGGGAATGAGCACCAAAAACCTACAGACAAGGCCTGCAATCAAAGTCCCCACCCAAACCCATGCTCCTCCTGTCCTGCCCGTTCTGAGGCTCTGAGACAGGACAGGTGGTAGCAAAGAGGTTGGGTGATGCCTCTGGAGAACTGAAGGCTCATGTTCTGATGTTCTCTCATCACAAAGATGAGAACCACTGTGGGAGATGGAGGTCTCGCGTGCCATGGTCACATGTGCATGGGCCCCACACCTTGCAGCCTCTATGTAGGGCAGGGCAGGGCTTACCAGGGCAGAGGTCAGGATTATCGGGCACTTGGACTGGCAGGCAACAAGGGTCAGGTCAACCAGCAAGGAGGGGTCTTGGCCACGTAGACAGGTGCTCAGGAGTCCCTGGGGGACAATGTGATTGGTCTCAGCACTTGGCCCAATGTCACACAGGACAGCCTGGTGCCTGCCAGTTTTGCCCTTATGGGGCCCTGCCCCGTGCACTGGGGGCCCAGGATCTCCCAAACAGCTGCTAAGCAGGCAAACGGGGTGCAAGGAAGTGCCGAAGAGAAAATGGATTACCCGGAAGAAGTGAGCGGTGATGTCGTGGGTCAGGGAGCCTCCGTGGTAGTAGATGTTTCTCTGCAAAACAGAACCACAAAACTGGAAAACCAGTTTGCTCTGTCATCTTTCACCTAAATGACAACAGGCCCGTGAAGGCAGTGAGACAGGCAGCAGGAGGAGAGATGGCACTGTGGTTTTACCATGCAGTACACAGTAAAGGTTCCACTGTGGAAGGAAACACCAAGATTGGCCCAAGGCCCTTTGGAACCAGACCATCCTTCTCCCCTCCTGGCCCAGATGCAGATGCAGGCACCGGTCAGGGCCGAATGGACATGGGGGCTGAGGGCCTGACCCTGCTTCTGAGGAGGATGGTATCTGCCCTCCCGGCCAACTCCACCGTCCTGAGGGAGAGGACTCACGTAAGATGACAAATGGCTTCTGAATGGCCGCGATCCCTCCTCTGCTCCTGCAGCCTCTGGCCTCATTCAGGCACTTTTAAGTCAGACACTTAAAAGAATCCCATTGAGACTAGAAGCTGCTCCCCTAAAAGATGCTGAGTACTATCCTGTCATTTTATAACTGTGACACACTCATGTCCCTGCTTGTATGCAAACTGTGCCATAGGACGGGCATCTGCTGTGGGGGAAGGGCAGGCCTGCTGGGCGATGCCAAAAGTGAAGCCAGTGAGAAACATTCTGCAGGGACATGAACTGGGGACCAACAACCTTTTCCTCTCTGTTTCACTTTCACCCCTTCCTTCAGCAATTCCAGTTAGGACACAGATCACTAAGAAGCCCACAGGCCCCAGCAACTGGCCACCTGATGTTCCCCAGCGCACCAGCCCTGCACAGACCACACAGCACCCACCAGTTCAGAGTTGACAAAGTGCAAGAACTCGTCACAGTTGACAGTGGCCGGCTTCTCCTGGAGGCTGGTGAAGAGCATGGTAGGGGGCAGGGCCAAGAGGATCCTGGAGGAAGGATAGCCAGTGTCAGAGGCTCCCAGGCTACTCTCCTCCTCTGGGACTGCAGCCCCCACCCCTGCTGCAGGTGTGTCACTGAGAAAACAGTCTTAATGTCGCATGCCAGCCAGCTCAGAGGCCACGATACAGTGTGACCTCACTGCCTGTACTGCGAACAACCCTATGACGGGAAGTTTAAAAATCACCTTCCAACCCTCCGTCTTAAATACAGCTGCAAAGGGCATTTCTGAGCACACAGTTTTTCCTTATTCGGTCACCAGTTCCTTAAGCTGAACTCCTCAAAAGGGTCAGTCACAGCTCTAATCCCAAGACCCAGTTGGTTCTACATGAAAGCCCAGGGAGAGCAGCACTCAGGGCTGGGGTGGACAGGGCTGGGTGTACGATGGAAGAACCGACTGCAGGTAGTGCTGTGTGCAAACCATGATGCTATCATCTCAGCCACAGCCACAGTCCCTGCTGGTACCGTTTGTGCAGTAGCAGCTCCTGCTGCCTCCGAAGGCGGGCAGCCACCGTTGACATGTCTCCCAGTGCCTGCAGCCGCCTGCAAAAAATCCCAAAGAGGAAGCGTCCCCGAGGTGTGCCGCCCTGCTCCAGCTCCAGCTCCGCAACCATTTCCTAGAAAACAGCAGGTGAGACTTCAAGATGGATGACCACGCACACCCCAGTGTGGGCACACGAGACCGCAAGCAGGGTGCTAAACAGCCTTCCTTGGAAATTGTTTCAAACCTGCCAAGATCTGCAAAACACTGTTTGCCTTATCGTTTTAACAGTCTACGTTATGTGTGCACGTGTCTGTGTGAGTGTATGCATTGCATGAGCATATGCAAGTGTGGTCATGCACACAACTGACTGAGAGTGAGGGTGTGCACACAGGTGTGTGCGTGCCGAGATTTCCTGGTGATGGCCCTCATGTGATCAGAGCACGTTATCTACATCAGTCACCAATAAAGCCTCACCATGGCCTCACAGCACCTCCCTGAGTGCAGGACTGAAGGAGCATGTGCTTCTAGAAACTTCCATGGTACTTCACCTAGGCTGCATTTGCACCACCACCACACCCTGACAGTATGAGCCAGTTCTGCACTGCTCACTTGAAAATGTCACCTCATAGTCTGGGGAGACATATGTATGGGCGTTGTGGGGAAACCAAGGTAGAGGTGGGGGTTTTCTGACAAAGTAGACCAGAAAGCCTCACTGAGAGGTATAAGTGTGTGAAGGGGGAGTACACGGACCTGGCATGGGTCGCCCACACACACACAAGTCACACACACTGGTCTGAGTGCACGCATACCAGCCACCTGCACAATCCAGACAGAAGGTGAGTGCCCCATCACATCTGATCTCCTGCTGTCCCCGGCCCTGATCCACCACCGAGCACAGTAATGGCGTTCATCAAAGACGAAGGATGAGGTGACGGGGCTCCCTTCTCTCTGGACGTTTCCTCCTTATGCAAAAATACGCCCATAATTTCCACCGACCATTTCCTATGTTTGGTCACCTGAAGAGCAGCAGCAGGAGGCACAAAACTCACACGCGTGACAAAGGAAAATGGTTGCGTTGACACACGGGTGCGAAGAGGGCCAGCCATACGAGGAATGGGCCTGTGCCACTCTGCCTAACTCAGCCAGGCCCAGTCTGACTGCCCCGAGAGCCTGGTGCAGCACAGTGTGATGGAAGATGGACTGCCTGTTTTCCAGTCCATCTGGAACAGTTTCCGCAACCCCGTGTCTGTGGGTGGGGGGCAGGATGCCATCTCCGTGTCACCGTCTACGTGGAAAGAATGCTGTCTCTGTGCCCCGTCTATGGGTGTGGACAAAACACCATCTCTGCACCCCCCATCCGTGTAGACAGAAAGCCATCTCTGTGCCCTGCATCGGTGCATAAAGAGAGAATGCTGTCTCCGTGCCCATCTGCCTGGTGAAGGCAGCCCAGCAGCTGTGTGGAGCTTTGCTTCCACGGTATTGGGCACCCAGGTCCTGTGCTAGGTGGACGATCACTGACACCCCTCCCCAGAGCCTGACTTCCACAGCGAGCAGTGGAGAGCGAGTCAACCAGCAGAAGGTAGTGCAGCAGCAGCAGTTGGTACCAGAACAGGTGTGCGTGTTCCTGACCAGGAAGGCTGGGCTGTCAGGGGCTGTTCTATATTTTGTGGTGCTCATATAGGAAGTGAATTCAGAGCACACACTGGGTTTTGGCATAGTGTGGGAAATAAGTCTTTTACTACTTGGTTGTGTTAGGACCCACTGTGGAAATTTACACATATTAAGAGGGCCTCACTCCAGGGCCCACCAATGCTGTGTTCTGAAACTCACCTGCAATCTGGAAAGAAGATCCTGGTTTACCATGCGGCCTCCAGGGCCCAAATCTGAATTCTCCACAGAGTCAGGGTTCTGTGAGCTGGAACAAAAGCACAGTGGGAAACTCCCCAGGACCTCAGCCCTGAGGGTTTCCTGGTTCTCTCCTGCTGTCACATGGGAGGCATGTTCACCCTTTGGGTGCCCCTAGTGACCACTGCACGTCAAGGGAGTTACTGAAATAAACAATAAGATTCTGAACAAAAATCCTCAAAAATTAAAGCCACCAACACATAAAAAGAGTTATGCACCATCACCAGGTGGGATTACCCCAGGTGTGCAAAGTGGTCCAACATATGAGATTGAATGTGTGAGATGTTTCTCAGTGAAGAAAGGCTGAGCTTTTTCTCACTAAGACCAGGAACAAGACTAACATGGACACTCTTGTGGTGCTGGAACAGCTGGATCCCACACGCAGAGGAATGAAGACCTCCTACCCCACTCCATATCCAAAAATGAACCCGAATGGATCAAGGACCTAAATGTAACAGCTAAAATTATAATACTCTTAAGTGAAGACAGGTAAATTTTCACAACCTTGGATCTAGCAATGGATTCTTAGAAATGACACCAGAAACACAAGCAACAAAAGGAAAAAGAAGCTAGACTCCCTTTCCAGAGTGGGGCTCTGTCGGCCCCAATACTACTCTCACCGTAGTCTTCCCTAGGCCTCACTCCTCTCCCTTCCTTGCACCCTGACAAACCAGCACCACGTCCTCAGGGCTCAGTTCCCCTACCCCCAGCTTCTGCCGCACATCCCTGTTCTGACCCAGGCCCCACGTGGACACGCCCCCACCCCAGAGATGTGACTGTGGACCTCTGCAAGCCTCCGCTCCATCCTCTCACACTGCCCTGAGTCTTCACTGGAGCTGATTCAGGGCTGCAGTCCCAACGCACTTGGCTATGTCCTCTGCACTGGCCTTGACCCCTGCAGGCACACAAGTGCTAACCTCTGACAGAAGTCCATCATTGCCTCAGTGAGGACACCACAGGCTGTCTCCAGGTCTCCGCCACAGCCCCCCACAGCTGGGGACTCGGGCAAGTAGCACTGGTAGATCGCCCACTGGTGGAAGTCTCGCCTGAAACAGGGAACAGGTGTCAGCACTAGCAATGCTGAGAAAACCTGCAGCCCAGGTTCCCCCAAACCAGGTGAGCCCCATGCTTCGGAGCACGTGCACCTGCTGGTTCCCTAGCAAGGCCAGTTCCAACATGCAGATGATATAACATTGCTGGAAGCGAAGAGGACCTGAAGCCCTTACTGATACAGCTTTCATATGAATTACACTTCAAATACTTACAAATGGGCTGATAAGTAAAATCATGATAAATGAGAGGTCACCCTGAGGACTGAGGTGTGCCTGACTTAAGCCATGGCATTTTCAATCACCTCATAGGCATGTGAGAGGTGGACAATGAATAAGAAAGCCCAAAAAAGAAGTGATCATCTGAATTATGTTAAACCCACTGCCATTGAGTCAATTCCAACTCACAGCAACCCCACAGGTTTCCAAAGCTATAAATCTTTACAGAAGCAAACTACCTCATCCTTCTCCTGCAGAGCAGTTGGTGGGTTCAAATCACCAACCTTCTGGTTAGTGGCTGAATGCCATAGCCAAAGCACCACTGGTGCTCCTTGACTTATGGTGCCAGTAAAGAACCAGGGACTAAACAGACCATGGACTACCAGGGGAGTAAGGACGTTAGTCTTGGCAGAAGAACAGCCAGAATGCTCCCCAGAAGAAGGCTGGCAAGATCTTGTCTCTCGTACCTTGCCTCATGTTATCAGGAGGGCCCAGGCCCTGCAGAGGGACACAGAGCTTGGTCAAGTAGAGGGTCAGTGAAAAAGGGGACGACTCTCAATGAGATGAATTTACACAGTGGCTACAACAATGGGCTCAAATACAGCGACGATTTTGAGGATTGCACATGACTGGACAGTGTTTCATTCTGTTCTGCACAGGGTCGCTATGAATCAGAACTGATTGGACAGCACCTAAGAATGCTACAGATGAGCAGGTGAGGAAGGGAAGCCTGTGAGCAGCGAGCATATGAAGAACACCCTCAAGTCATGAACAGAATCCTGAGAAGCGACCGTGGCTACAGTGGGAAAAAGCAGCTAGATGTCCTTGCATAGCCATTCCCTTTTCCGGATTCCCTATGTATGTTCTACTTGTCCAGAGCCCAACACTGCAGTACAACGTGGTTGGAAGCAGCATACGTCCCAAGCATGCATGCCAGAAAAGGGCTCTGACCTGTGGAGAATATGCAGGGGACAGGTAGACCCTTTCCAGCTCCCTACCTCCTTATCACCCTCCTCTTCCCTCTGTGTTCTCCGAGGGAGGCCTTGCATCTTAGGTGGATCTTTTCATGACCCCCTCTCATGACCTTCAATAAACTGCCCACCCTTGCGGGGCCCTGTGCATAGCAGCTGTGTGCCTGGCCCCACCCAGAACCTTCATGACCAGCACGAGGACTGCAGAGGCTTGGCTGTCCTGAGCCACAGCTCTGTGCCTCTGTTCCGACCACCCCAGCCTGGCATTTTGCCCAGGAGTGTTCCCACAGCACACTCCATCCACTCTTGTAAACACTGGCCTCTATGCCCACACCCTGGCCCCTGTGGCAGAGGCGTGGGCCGCCGCCAACTGCAAACCCTCATTTCCTCTGACACCAACCACCTGCCAGGCCTCACCTTTGCTTCCCTGCTACTCACTGCCACGTGGCCTTGCCTGTGCAGTCTGTTTACCTGTTGGCCCTCAGCCCCCAAGGTGTGAGTACACACAGGCACCCAGTCAGAGTGGGGGGCTGGAACCCAAGCAGGTGCCCTGATGTAGGCCATGTGGCAGAGGTCTGTTGTGTTCACACTGCATCCCCCGCTTCCAGATTGTTCTAAGACAGTGTCTGGCACACGGCAAGGCTCAGTAAGTTTCTTGAATAGAGCAATGAAGAGGTGAATGAAATCGTGCTCCCAGCTGAGGACAGGATGAGACCCAGACTGGAGAATGATGGCGACTGTGTGGCACTGTGAACGCTTACCTCTCTGTAGCTGAAAGAGCATCAACTGCAGGCTCAATTCCCAGCTCTAACTGCAGCCAATCTCTGTAATTCAACTGAAAGGAAAGGGGCTAACGTGAAGGCTGGAGCTGGCGTGGCACACACTGCTCACATCAGCCATTCCTGATGCTGGCCAGTGCTGGCCAGGCCTGCTCTTCTATACAGCTGACAGCAATAGAAAAAAACGGAAGAAATAAAACAATCGAGTGCTTTTTTTTAAAAAACCATCTGGCAAACAAATATCCTTGGAAATATATTAAACACACGAAAGGCAGAAGCGTGAGCAGCCTGGTGGTAGGAGCGCTGGTAGAGATGTTTGTTGCTGGGGGTGCTGGCAGGGACGTTGGTGTGGATTTCACTGGAATTTGTGAGGGATGATGGCAGGGGTGTTGGTGGAGGTTTCCTGGTACTTGACTAGGCTCCCGGAGACCTGTGCTGGTGCAGGCAAGCAGACAGCCATGGCTCAGAGAGGCCAAGCTCCCCACTGTATGCTAGCTGAAGCACTTAGAAGACATTTTTAGTTACCCTTGAAAATTTCTGCAAAAGGTTATTATCAGTGGAAACTACAAAGCATAGGAAGTGTCTATCTGTAATATTTCTCCTAACTGCACATGAAGCTGTAATTACGCAACAAAACACTTTCTGTGTCACTGGTCAAGTGTAACATCAGACCCTTCCCCGTTCTACCCTCACGCCTGTCCTACTCCCTCATGCATGTCCCAGGACACACGACATTCTCTGATGAAACCCATGACTGCAGCAGTTGCATAAAGTAGAGAAGGGGTAGTGGGACGTTACTTGAAATTCCTTCTCCTTCAGCAGCTCTCGGAATGCCCTATGTCTCCACAGACAGAGGGCCGCCTTCATCCAGTCGGCGGAAGGCAGGCCAAGGGGCCTCCAGGGTAGGTCTCCCACATCTGCACAGGGAGGCTCACGGGCTTCAGAGAACAGTCTCAGCACAGTGAACTGGAACTGAAAACAGAGACATGTTCTCTGTCAGAGACAGGAAATACTCATGAGGAGACCCTGTCCATGACCCCCCAGGACAGCGCTGTGTACACTGGACACATCTGACCGCTGCCCCAGCCACGCCTCGACAGAGAACCGCATTGAGACCATCGCACCAGCGGCTGCAGGGTCCTGCCCATCCAGGGTCCTGTGCATGCCTGCCTCCCCAGACCTTAGCAGTTCCCGTGTTCTCATTAAAGTGTGCTGATCTGATGACCAAAGTGTTTCACAGTGGGACTTTTTACCAGTGACGGGCTTGTTGTTCTCTGCTCATCGGGAGACAACCTTCACCCCACATTGACCGAGCACATTTGGGGAATGAGCTAGGCTGATGTAACCATGTCTCCTCACGGCAGCCAAGCCTGCACTGACGAGGCAATGTCCTCCAAACTACTGTTTCTGACTCAAGAAAGGCACTTCAAGCAACACTGTGTTGTACTCTTAAAAGAGCCTCTGTGTGAGGTCTGCTCCAAGGAACCCACCACCACTGAGCAGTGTGGCGGCAGCAGTGACGAGCACAGGACCGTGACACAGCAGGTATCCTGTCATCGTGAGGTGTGCTCCGAGGAGGCCACCACTGAGCAGTGTGGCGGCAGCAGTGACGAGCACAGGGCTGTGACACACCGGGCGTCCTGCTGCCACACTGTGTCCTGCTGCCACACTGTGTCCTACTCCCAGTGCTGAAGATGGGCTCTGAACTCCTCAGCAGCCTGTGGCTGCCATAGTTACCTGCTCCTCCTTCTGCCAGGCTACACAGGTGCACCCAGACTCTTAGAGCTGCTCCAGGTTCAGACTTAATGGATCTGGGCAGGCCCAGAAATCTGCATTTTAAAAAGCTTCCCCACTGATTCCCATGTAAAAGGAATGATACTGGTTTACTACTATTTGGAAGTCTTTATTCCCACCTGTGGGTTGGAGGTTCCTAATGCTTCACCTTTGTACTTCCCCATGGTTCTGACAAGTGTTTAGTACAGGAAGGAAGCTCTTCAGAGTGAGTCCTCAACACAAAGACCCTAAGGGGCACTACTCTATTCCCTGACTATCAACATCAGCTTCTTTAAGACAAAGGGCATGCTCATGGTATATGAACCCTGCTGCTTCATCTACAGAGAGAGGGAGGCTCTGCCCGCTCAAGGGGCAGATGCTGAGAGGACACACCTTCTTCACGAAACCTGGAGAGAAACGGCCGCATGTAACAGCTTGGGACTCAGAGGAAGACATGCACAAGGTGTATGAAATTGCTGCCGTACAAAACCTGGAAAAGAGGGGACTTGGGTATAGATGTGATCCACACCGAGACCAGTGCAGAAGTACGTCTGAACTTCAGAAAGAGGAGTTTGGTGAATTCCAGACTGCAGTCACATGACCTGTCCTTCTGTCAGTGAGACGAGGCCTCAGTGGAACTGGCTGCTCCCCAGGCGCTCAGCCCCCTGCCCTGCAGGCACACGTGTGGCACCACGTGGAGTATGGCAGATGAAGGCTGCATGTGATGCAGGGTGACGTATTCAGAAATAAAGTGGGAACTGTAGACTGGGGAGAGGCATGGGGCTAGATGACAAAGACTGCCCAGGGACACCCAGTGTGCACCAATTATGCAGTCACATACTAAGCACTCCATTCACCTGCATCAGTGTACCCTGCTATCCCAGCCAATATAGCCAGCAGTGCCAGAGAAGCAGGGTCTGAGAGACAGGCTGTGGGAGAAGGTAGCCAGGCCTCACAGCAGCCTTGTCTCCCACTCCACGGTCAGATCCGTGGCCAGACCCACAGCCTGGCCCACAAACAGACCCACAGGCTGACCCACAACCAGACTACTGGACAGATAGCTACAGGATCACAGGAGTGGCAGCAGCCACCGTGATGCTGAGAAAACGCTCAGCGACATGGAGCCCTTACAAAATACTTGTTGTTATTGGCCGTCGAGTCGGACCCAACTCATAGCGACCCCTCCTTGGGTTTCTGAGGCGGTATCACTACAGAAGTAGATTGCCTAACCTTCCTTCCAAGGAGAAGCTGGTGGGTTTGAACCTCTAGGCTTCTGGTAACCAGTCAAGTGCCTTAGGCACTACACTACCAAGCTCCTAAACAGACAACCCAGTCTACCTGGTGGGGAGCAGCTGGTGGGTTTGAACCACCAGCCTTGCACTTGGCAGGCGACCGCCTTAGGCCCGAGGCCATCCCCTAAGGCCTACAACATACTACTGACTTTTAAAAAGAAGTAATGGTATGTCATCTCTGTAAGCCGACACCAACACAGGCACACACTCACACGCTTCTCCACATCCACACACACACACGTACACAAACACCCCCTACTCATACACATCCACTCACACCCACATCCACACCCTACAATCACACAACACCCACACTCCAAATTCTGCACATCCACACACACAAAAGCCCCCCACTCATACAAATCCATTCACACCCACACTGACTCACACACTCACATACACATGCACACCCCCACTCACACACACCCACACCCCCTCACCTTCAAACACACATGCACAGCGTGAACCCTGGAAGAACACGACATGGCAGATGCCTGCTGGGCCTGTCTTAGTGGTGCAGGTCCTCCAAAGCTGCACTGGACGCAGCGGCCCCCTCACCTCACACAGAAGAGCAGGGACTCCCCAGTCCTGCAGGGCAGGAGGCTATCCAGGAAGGCAGCCACCGAGAGGTCCTGGGCAGAGGCAGCTGGGCCCAGGTCTGCACGCGGCAACACCAGCTCACACTCACTCAGGTGGATAGCCAGTGCGGCCAGCCCCAGCACATGGGGGGCGCTAAGGCGGGGACCCTGGAGTGGACAAGAGGGGGCAGGCCTGGAGAGGGGCTGGTGGGCTGGGCAGCCTCAGCAGCCTCTGGCTCGTGTGAGGCTCCTATTGACCAGAGCTGGCCCTCCCAGGAGACGTGGAGCCTCTCCGGATGGTGAAGTAAATGCCTGAACACACTGGTCCATGCCTGACCTTCCACCCCTCAGCCAAGGGCATGCTTCCATGTCCAAGTGCTGGCATGGGGACCAGTCCCGAGAGGACTTACCTGCTGGAGCAGCAGCTGGGACAGGCGTGTCAGCACTGCAGGCAGAAGTGCACGTCCACACAGCAGACTTGTGAAGAGAGAAGCCCAGGGGCCCTGCCTGCGGACAACACGAGGTGAGCCAGGCACCCATGCTCACGAAAAGGGAGTGGACTACAATCTTTATGTCCCCAGCACACGGCAACTGGATGTGGCCCTGGCCTGCCCAGGCAGGAAGGATGACAGGAAACCAAGGGAAATGCACTGGGTCTGCAGCAAGAGCTGGCTCCAGAGCACTGTTCTTGGAGCAGGGCAAACTCCTGCCTGAGCTTGACAAGGGAACCTCTGGGCAGAGGCAGAGCCGCGGCCCCCAAGAAGCGGCTGCGTGCTTTACCTCTGAGGTGAGGCGAAGCTGGAGGCAGCCACCAGGCTCTGGCAGAAGCAGGTGAGCAGGAGGTCCACAGCCTGGGAGGAGACAAGGCCCGTGTTAGGCTGCTGCCTGCACCTGGGGCCAAGTGCACCGTCCCACACCTTGAGGACCACAGACCAGGCCGTCCTCCTCTGCCACAGTGAATACCTGAGGCCGCAACCATAGCGGCCTGTCGTCCTTAAAAAATCATGACCACCCTTTTCTGCACACTCAGGTTACTGACACAGGGCATCACCTGCTGCCAACACACACTTGCAGAACAAACAAAACCACCACAGCACATGCCCGAACCATCGTGACCCTACACACACCTTCTGCTTCAGCAGTCCAAGCTCTGCAGAAGGAACATCATGCTGAATGCTTGGCACCTCAACACCATCCTCGCTGGGGTCCAGGACAGCACGCAGCCGCTCTGAGATCACGGCAATGTGGGCGGGCACCACTGCACATGAGTGTAGACAGGAGGAAAGTGCAGGGAGGGGCTCAGGCCCTCACCCTGTGGTCCCAAAGCAACCCTGCACCTTGGAGTGGACAACACTGACCACTGACCTGCCTGCAAAAGCAGGTGTCCTTATCACAGGGGTGCAGGCAATTAGCATGTGGGCACATGCCTTGGTGCCACTTCCAGACTGACCACCACCGTGAGACAGATACAGGACACACACCAGTCACTGCACCGTGCAGCCGGCAGGCAGCCCAGGGGCCATACTACACAGACCCCTTGCCCCACTGTGGCAGATGCCCACCTGCAGCACCCTTACCGTCACACTGCGCAGGCTCCACCATCGCAGCTCTGAGTGCTCCCAGCGCAGCCTCGAGCGCGCCCAAAGCTCCGCTGGCACAGCCAGGCTCCGCCTTCTCCACAGGAGCTGCAGAGGGGACACACGGCACACTGTCACTGCAGGCCCTTGGCCTGTACACATGTGGAGCATGGCAGGTGCCTCCCAATACCCAGCTGTCATTGGGGTCTGCATGCAGCAACAGGAGTCACAGCACAGCGTGAGACACTTCTGCACAAGAGAGCGGAAAGGCACGCACTTGGTACCACCCCTGTAAGCACGTGGGCCCTGAGACTGACCCTCGGTGCCTGCCTCTCCAGTAGGACATTTGGAAACAGACTGAGGAGTCTAAAGGAGATAACAGCACCTTTTCCCAGCACTCCCTAACACTTAACAACTTTACTAAAAAAGACAGAACAGGAGCACAGGCTTTCAGAAGGAAGATGTGGGGTCCAGACCGTGAAGAGAGCACTGATGTTATAAAAGGGAAGGCTCACTGTGCATTTAAGAAGCACAAGCCCCAGCTCTGGTGTCGCTGGAGAGGAGTATGTGAAATCGCCTCACCTGGCATGGTCGCCTTCATGTGGGCTCAACCAGGTGAAGCCAAAAGCAAGCAGGGATTTACAGGATTCTGTTCATAAACCCCCTCAAGTAAACCATTCAAAAACAATAATGAGTCCCCAAAAAGCAGAACCCTGAGGTAAGGAGGACCAGACGGTGGGAGAGGATGCCGTCAACAGACGGCTCTAGCAGGGTGAGACCATGCACCTCGCCAGCTGGGTCCCAGCACCTCCAGCACTTCCGCACAAGCATGAGCTATATCACCTTGGTGCAAATAGGTGCGTGGCCTGGGCACCTGTTTTCTCTGCCCACAGTCTCCTGTCCCTACAGCTATCTTCAGCTCAGCTGTGAGAGAGGAGCCTCAGCAAACAGCAAGAAAACAGGCTGTGTGGTGAGGTGTCCCCATCACACCCCAGGCTGTGGCTGCAGGAGGGACTCAAACAAGCAGACACAGTGGCAATGCAGAGGGATGAGGCCTCTCACGACCACCTGTGTCCTTGTCAGCAAGCAGGGTAGGGGACAAGGACAAGGCAGCAGAACCCCCAAAGCCCACACTGCTGCTTCAGCCCCCACCACACTGACTCAGCTTCATCGATTGATGTCCATCTGCCACCCTATTTCCTAGAAGCAGAGACACCCCAAATTCACACACACGAGACCACGTGTCAGAAGGTCACACCATGCATATCTCTCCTGTGGCAGCTTTAGACACACCTGTAGCCACAGCACAGGCAGGTACCATATGAACAGGATAGGCAGACAGAACCCACGAAGACGTGCATCATGGCACAGCACAGGTGACGAGTGACAAGGCAGGGTTGTGTGTGCACAGACAAGCCTAAGGGGAAAAGCCTTGAAACGGAACCCCTTCTGGTGACAGAGAGCCCTGCAGTTGGCAGCCTCCAAAGCCACCCTCCGCCCATCTGGTGACCCAGTGTGGTGATGGTGAGATCCGGTGAGACCTTCAGTGTCATCTCGTGAGACCCAGGGTCAGGGAGACAGAGGGCACGAGGCACAGTGACTAAGCGGAGCCTTAGTTGACCTTACTTTCTGGCTTCTTCTCCTCAGCAGCACAGCAGGCTTGACGGTAGTCTGAGTATACCGACAGAGGGATTTTATCTGCTCTGCATCAGAAGAAAACATGAAAACCAGGTCACCTCAAGTGTGAGCCAAAGGAATTCTCCAGCTTACAACTCAAAACGCTATCAAGAAACGCAAGTAAGCGATACACTGAAGCATATTCAAGCATGTTCAACAGTGATGAGGACAGCCTGGTCCTGTTTTTAGAAGGCGGCTTATGTGTGGATACTGACGCAGATTTAAAGGGCAGCTGGTGTTTAAAGTCATACACGAATAACTAGAAGTCACATGACAAAACACAAATGGGGCTGTCTATGGGCAGTGAGTCGAAAAACTACTTTTCTCCATTCACTTTTAGTTATTTCCAAATTTTAACAGTGAACTTAATTTACTTTTGACAGTATTAAGAAAAACATCTAGTCAATGCCATTAAAAGAACATGCAATTCACAGAATTACAAACTCCTGTGATAAGATCTGCAGGCACTGGGTGGTCCCTGCCAAGGCCATCTGTGTGACACTGCACTAGCTCAGCAAGGACCCCAGCTAGGCTAAAGGGGGTGGACGGTCCACACAGACACAGCACCAAGGCAAGCAAGAATGCCACCCTATCCACACACAACATCTGCAGTGGGCATTGGAGATGCCTGGGACACATGACAGGGGCATGCACACCGTGACCGAGAAGACACACAGTCCAACCAGACACAGCTGTTCCACACGATGAGGGACCCTGAAGAAGCACAGTAAGGCAAAGACTTGGAGCCCTGGCAGTAAATAGGCCAACAACCCTAACCCACTAATCTCAACTAATTCCAAGCCAGTAGTTTACAAATATGAGGTGTGATGAAACGATTTTCTGTGACCCGTGTCTTGCGTACCTCTTCAGGGCCTCAATGAGGGCCAAACGGGGGTCAGGACTCTTGGGCAGCTGTGAGGAGAGGAGAACAGATGAGGCTCCCAACAGGCCACCTTCTCCAGATGGGTACGCACTTATTGGGCAGCATACTGACCACGCGTGGCATGAGCAGGGCGGGAAGGAAGTAGGACAGGTAGTAGGACCTCCTGAATATGCTGCAACAGAGGGCCAGGCACCAGACACACGGTCAAGGTAGGGGACCCAGTGAGCACCCCCACCACATATCGGGCACTAGGCCAACTTCCCAGTCTCATTTCTAGGATGGCATATCAAGAAAAAATCATCTATTTTGGGACGTCATCAAAGTCTGTGCTCGTGCCTACACACCCCCAGCCATGCAACATAACCCACCCTGTACCCTGAGGCCCGACAACACAGCATGCCCTGCACCCTGGCAGGGTCACAGCTGGTATCATCTCAGGCCACTGAACATTTTCCTTGGAATTGATCTCTAAGTCCTGGGAAATGGGATCAGTTCAAGTCCCTCAGTATCAGGATCTTAAAAGGCCACCCACCCCACACAGACAGCAACCAGATGTCAATGTGTTTAGTGACTGAACCAAATTCCATGAAATCCTACTGTTCGAGCCCTACACTAGCTCCCTATTGGTCACTGTACAGCATCACTAAAACACCACTGCTGCCACACAGAAGGCCCACATCATCCATCAAGCTGAGTGGACCAAGTAGTCTGTGCCCAAAAGGCCCACAGGCCATTCTGGAAGAAAATGTTTCAGACTCACAGCCACAGGCCAGTTCCTGGCCTCCCTGTGAGCAGAGCGTGGGCCGAGACCACTAACAAGGTGACCCAGTCATGCCGCACTGCACCAGCATTCCGGGCTGTGCCTACCTGGCCTCCATCACAGCGGCCGGGATCTTCCCTGTATGCGCAAACACCTCAAGGGCCTTCTCCACGTCCTGAAGGGCCTGGCTGCGGGGCTGCCGAGGGCACAGCGGGAGGGGAGAGCAAAAGGCTAAGAGGGAAAGCCACCCCTGCCCTCTGCACACAGAGGTAAATGTACCTGGATGAGCGTGCGGCGTGGTGCTCAAGTCACATAAACCCTTGAGGATCAACAACCCACCCAAGAAGAGGTTCTCCTGCTGCTTTCTGCCTTTTCAAAGCTGAGCCCCAGTTGAGAGGACCCTGGTGACAGCCTGCCTCCTCGGGGAGCCGCTGTGCCCAAGGCTCTGGGAGGGAGGGGCTCAGGGTGGCCTTCTGTGACTCCACCCCATGCTGCATGGCGTCTCTGTCCATCCCCCCAATGCTCCCTTCCCATCTCTCCTTCCTGCCCCACCCCCTGGAGAGTGACAGGTCCTAATCAGAGGATAAGATAGCATGCCTGAACAGCAGTGCATGTAACCAGGGAGCTGTGTGAGACGCTCAGGTCTAAGACCACACGACACCTACAGGGGCTTTCAGCAATTCCCAACGGTAAGGTGAAAAGCCTTAGTGACCTACAAAAGGTTGTTTCTACCAGTGACAGGCACAGTGCACCCTGTCTCAGCGCTTCCGAGACAAGCAGACGCTCCTTCCAACCCCATGTGAACTGAAGTCCTTGAAGATGACAGACCTGAGCAGGAGTAATGCCCGAGGGGAGGCCCTGAGTCACACTTCCTCCAACATGGGCAGTCACAGCACCAGGGACATGGCAGGCCCGAGCCTACACAGCTCCAAGTGTCCACCTCACGTGCAGAGGTTCCCAGGTCACTCTGGGCTGAGAGAACATGCAAGCTGTGCCCACCCCTCACCTCTGTGGCACCGCCCACTGATGACAGGTCCTCGTAGAGCCCCATGTCTTCTACGGAAACCTTGGGGAAGACAGAAGGAAGCGTGAGCACACAGTGGTGCACGGCTGTGGACGACAGTCTGCGGGCAACTGACTTGCCTCAAGGTCGGCCAGCCGCGTCCGAGCCAGTGTGACGTAGTCAGTGAGCAAGGGGCGCAGCCGCTCTGGGACCAGGGGTGGATGGAGCACATGTACCTGGGAGACACACGGCAGGTGAAGGCCAGTTCATTCCAAGCCCACGATGACACAAGAAGCGGGACTTGACACTGAAACCCACAACTCCATTGGGAGGGTCCCAGCCAGAACGAGAAAAGATGCCGGCTCAGCTGTGGTCGGGTGGGGGAGTGTAAACCACACAGGAGCCCCACAGGGATGGGCAGAGCAGGAGACAGCAGTTGCAGTCAGGAGAGAGGCATCAAGGCCAACTCCAAGTATTTCACCCAGGAATGAGGATGGATTCGATGACAAAAAATGTCAACTTCTGAGGTCTGCTCTGATTTTTTTTAATAAGCCTGAGGCCACAAAGACTGACAACATACACTGGAGAGAGGCGGGGGCTGGAGAGGGAGTGGAGGGAGCTGAGCGAGGAGGGCACTAAGGTCTCAGTTTGCTGGGGCTGGGCAGTCCCTCACCTTCAGGTACTGGGGGGCCTCAAACGGCACAAGGTCTGACAGGAACGTGAAGAGGAATACCAGTGCCTTCTTGCTGCGGCAGTGGGGACTACGGGCACTGCCAAAGGTAACCTGGAGGGAACACAGGAATGAGCTTGACAGCTACTCTCCAACCTTTGATGTTGCAAACAGAAGCCTGGCTACTACAGACATAAAATCAACCCAACTCTTCACACATCCAAGAACGTTGGCCACTGCCGGCCCAGCTGTGGCTGAAGTACTTCTGTAAGATAACAGTGGCTCTTTTACCCAGCACCCACCTTGAACCAGTCCACATACGGTGGGAACACAGTGGGGCCCTCCAGTGCAGCCTGGCGCACGATCAGGAAGGCAGGAACTAAGCTCTCCAGGTCGAACCTCTCAAAGGCGCCGGCCACCAAGTGGGCCACCCAGTCTGGGAAGAAGTGACAAGGTCACGCAGGACCTACACCCAGTAGGGAGAAGTGACCTGGACACACGGGGCATAGGTCCAGTAGGGAGGAGGCCCAGCTCCATCAAGCCATGAGTCCAAATACCACTTTCTGAGAGACTGGACATAAGGGCACACCACACAGCCACAGCCAAGGCCATGACATGGACCGGCGGCACCCAGTGACCCCTGGACTGGCATACTTGCATTGTCAGGGAGTGATAAGACATCTAGGAGGATGCAATGACAGGCACAGACCTAGTCCAACTAGCTCCACAGAGGACACCCTGCCAGGCAGCTGGTCCTCGGCAGCTGAGTGCACCACAGACCAAGGACGGCTCTCCACTCACCAGCTGAGCTCCCAGTGGACAGGACGGTGTTTCCAGGTGTTGTCCACACCCATTATCATGCACCAGTTAGCTGGCCACAAGAGTGGACATTTGGCAACACTGGTACACAAATCACACACGTACACACCTGCAAAGAAACACTGCGTGCCACAGGCCCTGTTGACACACACCTCTGACCAGCTGCTGTGCATCTGGGAGGCAGATGACCAGGGTGGACACGCAGGAGAGTACGTGCCGCCAGTTCACCTCACGCGTGTCCAGAACCTCCTGCAAGCAGCTGAGCAGCTCCTCGGGACTCAGCACCACAAAGAGCTGAAACAAAAGCAGCCCCATTTCACGTCCCAGCAAACCCTGTCAACAGGGGCTCACCTCTCACCACCCCACACCCATCAGAAAAGTGCCACGGCTAGGACACAGCCTCCCAGGACACCAGACTTCAGCTCCCCTGCCGCGGAGTCTCAGCGAGGAGGCACAAGAGTAGCTGGGTGAGAGGTGGCCTGGTCCCCAAGCAGATGGCCCGTAGGGCGACTCCTAACCCCACACAGCACACACATCAGCTTGCTGACAAGGGTTTGGAGCCTGCAGGTGGCAGCAGAGGGGACGCATGGGAACACGCACCTTGCGGTACAGGCTGGTGAGCAGAGGGGGGGTCCTCACAAAGCTCCATTCCCTCTGCATCTGGATGGCGTCTGATGCTGCGCTCAGGAGAGAGCACAACATGTCACACCAGCAGCTCCCGTGCATGTGCGCCCTAATACCAGCATCCAGAATCCCCTCGCCTCAACCAGCTTTCCCTCGTCATGGCGAGGGTGACCTCCTCTTCATTGTTGACTATATTCTGTGTTAGGAATTGTCTGTATCCTCTGTTCAGCCACCTACTGGAACTTTGAGTTTTTCCAAAATTTGCTGTACAACATCTAGTTATTTATTTACGTAATAAAAGTAAAGACCCTTTGTCAGGCACGTTTAAATTCTGCTGCATATATACTTTACACAGGCAACACCTAACACCGTCCAAAAGCCTGGCTAGACAGTAGCTGGACATGCTGCACCCGTCGCTCTACTCGAGACTCGGCCCCAGGGACATGCTGCTGCTACAGGAGAGTGTGGTTCCAGGGACACATTCAGTCCATGGGTGAGTGTGGTGAGCCCAGGACATGCTGTGACTATGTGGCAACACCAGGACACACCACTGACCATGGGCAAGTATGGTGAGCCAGGGCTCACAGCAGCCACGTCTACATGGAAAGGAGTGGGAAGAACTCATGGTTCCACCACTCCCAGAGAACACACTCAAGAAAACATTGTGGCTGCAAAAAATGTTCACAATACATAGTACCTTGCCCCTGATGTGGCATCTACAGTGTGACAACTGTGTTCAACCTGTGTTTAGGAAACAATCAGTGACATTTCATGTTGGCAGAGAGCTAGATGACACACTCTTCTCAATTCCTCATTTCCTCTGTAAGACGAGTCACTTCTAAAATGACATCTTTGAATAGTGAAGCAGAGAGTCCATCACTGTCCCCAAGAGTCCCGAGCATTCACTGCCCCCACGTGGCCAGCCCTACCTGCACAGGGACAGCACCATGACCACCACACTGGGGGATGACCAGGCTCTACAGCACATAAGCCCTTGAGAGTGTCACCAAGGCCACTGTGTCCCCAGGGGCTGTGACTCTGCCCCTGGCAGGCACCCACCTTTCAGCACAGGGTTATGGGTGAGTATCTGCGTCAGGGTGTGAGTGAAAAACCTCTTTGGAGCCTCTGTTGCGATTACACTGCAGTATGTGTGTCCGCTGAACAAGCTGAGCCTGCAAACGTGGGAGGGGACTCAGGAGGCAGTACAGCAGCCGCCCCCAGGTGTCTGAGGCGAACCGGCACTGACGAGGACTGTCCCTATGAACAAGAGTGGAACCACCATGGCACAGTGGCCACAGCACTGTGAGAGCCCCCGATACCCTCCTTCTTTAAGCCTGGACACACTCCAACCCTACACACTTCAGATGGAGCCAAGGTTCAGTTCCAACAAGAAAGAAAACAAAGGCAATGGAGGGACCTACAGCTGAGTCAGGATGAAGTGAGAAAGGGCTCGGCCACACACAGGACAAGCCATGATGCAGGACAGGCCACCACGCAGGATACCACCAGGGCCACATGCCCTCCACAGGGGATGGGGCTTTGGGGATGCTATAGCTCCCGTTGTCTCCAGGGAAGATGACCACCCAGACTACTAGGTGACATCTGATTTTAAATGTTGGCAACTGATTAAAACACTGACAACCAACAACCGGTCAGCAGCTGTGCTCAGACCTGAGCTGGGAAGAAGAGGTGGTGGCTTAGGCTGCAGCAGGGAGGCAGGAGTAAGTGGGGGGTTCAAGGGGCAGGCCCAGAATGCTCTACTCTGGGACAGAAGGCAACCCACAGGGACAGCCCACCTGCCACCATGCCTCCAGAGACCCTGGTGCACTTCACTGCCAACACTGCAGCAGACATGGCCATGCCAGGGCCAACACGGTACTTCCAGCAGGAAGACAACCACCTGCAGTGACTCACCAGCACTGTGCAGGCCCAGGTGCCACAGATACTTCCTGCTTGTCAGCAGCCAGAGCTTCGAGGGCAGCTAGAGACAGAAAACAGACACCAGCTCTGAGGGCCCCAGGACTACCCTCTGTGCTGAGCAGCTCTGCAGTGGGACTCGGTAAGTGCCTCTAGTTCTTGCTGATGGAAGGACAACACAGAGCCACTAACTCCTGCAGCTACTGTTGGTGAGAACCTCAGTTAAATGACGTCAAACAGAGCAAGAACCCCAGCAAGCAGAGTGATCCCCACAGCTGGCCCTGGAGACAGGCAGGTAGGGTATGACGATACAGGGATACAGGGCCACCTAGGGTGCGAAAATACCAGGAAACAGCAAGTCACATGAGGTACAGAGATGCAGGGAGATGGGGGCCACACAGGGCAGTGACACAGGGAGGCAGGGGGCCGTACAGGCCATGGCCACAAAAACATGCTTCCACATAGCTTCTACTGTCTGACCCATGATAACATTTCCTAAGACATCCCAGAAACTCAGGGAACTAAAAACACATGCCTAAACCGTGCTTTCTGTGGGAATTTCAGCTTAACAATCAAGATTAATTTGAAAGAAAAATTGTTTACTACATGCTCATTTAAATGCATGTGTTCTGTTAAAAACCAGAAACAGCAAACAGCAGAGAAAAGTCACTCCAACAATTACTGACAGCAAGGACTTATGTTCCAGGGCATCAGAATACGGGACAAAGAGATGCTTTCCAATTCACCTGAGGTGACTTGGCCGCACACCTCAGCCCAGTAAGTGAAACCTGGAGCCGCCAGGAACTGAGGACAGAATGGAGAGTGGAGGCAAGTTCACCTATGACCACCAGAAAGCGGCCTCAACACCAGACGCTGAGGGGAGGGGACAGAGGAAATGTAGAACCCAGCAGCAGGTAGAGCCACCCATCAGTGCAACACACCAGCAGACACTCACTGTTCAGCAGGCTCTGCAGGACGGTGACAGCGACCTGTGGAGACACAGACCGGGTCACTGAGCAGTACTCGGGGAAACAAACCTGCTGTCGGTGCTTCAACCAGGACTCAGGCTCCAGAGCTGCCTCCAGAGCCCAAGACGCAGCCAGCGTCCAACAGCAAGTCTCCCCAAGTCCTGGGATGAGGCCTGCAAGGGCCACCAGGGCCACGGCCATTCCTCACCCCCAGTGCTCCTACCTGGGGCAGCTTCTCCTGCTCCACATTTCTTCTCAGATCCGACTTTTCCTGAAATCCCCTCAAAACAAGCATCCGTAAAAAATCTGAAAATGACAAAACCAGACTATCTCCACACACAATTTCCTCCACCCACTGCCATGAACCAGGTAGAGCAGCGCAAAAGGGGGTAGTCTGCACATGAGGGGCTGCAGGAGGGCCAGCAAAGCTGGACTCCCCTGTGCCTGACATGGGTGAGGCTGCTGGCTGGCCCAACCCAACCCCAAATCCGGTAGCTAACCAAACTTTCTTCTGCCATTTCACATGAAAGGGAAACACCCATAACTCATCTATTTTAAGGTCTTTTTTTTTCTCTCGTAACACACACAATATGGCTGTCCATTTCCAAAGGCTATGTGGGGACCACCACCCACCATCTCCTACTCCAAAAATGGACATTTACAGAGGGATGGGAAGTACCATCCGGGGAAAGAGGCAGGACACAGAGTCACACCTTCGTGAAAGATGACAATCAAGGAGACTGCGATAAAAAAGTTTTTCTGTTGAATCGTCAATTACCCAAAATGGCAGAGATAAAGCTTCTTAGTTAGCTCCGTTTCACTGTAGTTTGCTTTTACAGACTTTTTTTTAACTCAAAGATATCCTAACGGTGGTGACATTTAAGCTATTTGAGACCAAGTTACAACAGCAACAGGAAACATAAGCAGTTAATGCCACCACCCAGCTTGTAGGAAAAACGTATTTTTAGGAATCTATCTTTTGCAGAAGGAAAAACCCACAAGGTGCTCTTGTGTGGAACTAACTTCTCATTGATTTGCATTTTGTGTCCAGCACACTGACAGAGGTCTCAGCACAGCAGGGAGAACAGAGTGGACCAGGCCACGCTAGGCAAAAGATGTTTAGCATTCACCAGTCACCATGTCATCCCCCCACATGCACATACACAGAGCCTACTAGGACTGGTACGGGCAGGACAACGCACACTGGGCCCCCCTGGCCAAGTACAGACAGGCCTGCCTCCCACAGGCTAAGCCTGCACTCACCAGCAAGCACAGCCCTGGCGACATCAGCGGACAGACTTGGTGCTTCCACCTCCTTACACAGAAGGGCCAGGCTCCTGCACAGCCAGACCTCCAGGACCTGCATGTCTGAGTGCCTGGGGACACACGGTGTGGCTGGAGCCAGGGTTTCACTGCTGCTGACAGTGCGTTTTCTTCAACTTTTACTTACTAGGACGTGTGGACCTGTGAGTACACACTGGCAGCTGCCCAAGGCCTCTGCCTACAGCTCAGACATCAAGGTCTCCCAATGGGGCCAGCCAACACAGGGGGCAACAGGGAAGGGAGGGTCGACCAGGCCTGCATTTGGACTGAGGCCTGCTGAACCATCAACACCACTCCACCCAGTGCCCCCCTTCCCTTCTTATGGCCCCACTGACAGCTTCCAGCTCACTGAGCAGCCAGGCTAGGTGAGGGCAGGAGCAACTACCTCCAAAGCATGACATTCTCTGTGCCCACCTGCAGTCACGCCCTGTTCCCACCCATGCCCACCTGCAGTCACGCCCTGTTCCCACCCGTGCCCACCTGCAGTCACGCCCTGTTCCCACCCGTGCCCACCTGCAGTCATGCCCTGTTTCCACCCGTGCCCACCTGCAGTCTCTCCCTGTTCCCACTCCCAGACAACTACTAACCTCCTTCCTCTCTCTACAGATTGACTTATCTTTTCTAAACATTTCATGTCAACAGAATCAGTTATGTGTCCTTGAGTGAATGGAAGAAATCATGAAAGAGCAGAACAGAACATTTTCAAGGGCAGTTGGAGAAGACAATGTAAAGTATTATAATGAAATGTGCAAAGACCTGGAATCTGAAAACCAAAAAGGAAGAACACGCTTGCCATTTCTCAAGCTGAAATAACTGAAGAAAAAATTTAAGCCTCGAGTTGTAATTCTGAAGGATTCTATGGGCAAAATATTCAATGATGCAGAAAGCAGCAAAAGAAGGTGGAAGGAATACACAGTCACTGTACCAAACAGAATGTGTCAACATTCAACTACTTCAGAAGGTAGTGTATGATCAAGGACCAAGGGTATTAAAGGCCTAAGTCCAAGCTGTACTGAAGGAACTGGTGAAAAACAAGCCTCCAGGAACTGATGGAAGACCCAATGAGATGTTGCAACAAATAGATCCAACACTGAAGGCACTCACTTGCTTATGTCAGGAAATTTGGAAGATAGCTACTTGGCCAAAAAACTGAAGAAATCCCTATTTGTGCCCATTCTGAAGAAAAGTGACCCAGAAGAATAAGGAATTTATCGAACTACATCATTAATATCACACACAAGTAAAATTTTGCTGAAGATCTTTCAAAAACGGTTGCAACAGCGTGCTGACAGGGAACTGCCGGAAATTCAAGCCAGACTCAGAAGAGGGCATAGAACAAGGGATAGTTATCACTGCTGATGTCAGATGGATCTTGGCGGCAAGCAGAGAATACCAGAAAGATGTGTACCTATTTTACTGACTATGCAAAGGCATTCGACTATGTGGATCTTAACAAATTATGCATAACATCACAAAGAATGGAAATTCCAGAACACTTAATTGTGCTCATGAGGAACATGGACACAGAACAAGAGGCAGTCATTCAAACAGAACAAGGGGATACTGTATGGTTTAAAATCAGGAAAGATGTGTTAGGGTTGTATCCTTTCACCATACTTATTCCATCTGTATGCTGAGCAGATCACCCAGAGGCTGGACTATATGAAGAATGCAGCATCAGGACTGGAGGAAGACTCATTAACAACCTTTCCTATACAGATGACACAACCTTGCTTGCTGAAAGTGAAGATGACTTAAAACGCTTGCTGATGAAGATCAAAGACTGCAGCCTTCGGTATGGATTAGACTTCAATATAAAGAAAACAAAAATTCTCATGACTGGAGCAAAAAGCAACGTCATGATAAATGGAGAAAAGATTGAAGTGTTAGAGATCCACCATCAACATCCACGGAAGCAGCAGTCAAGAAATCAAATGAATTATTGCACTGGGCAAATATGCTATAAACGTATCTTTAAAGTGTAAAGAGTAAAGATGTTACCATGAAGACTAAGGTGCAACTGATCTAAACCATGGTCTTTTCAATAGTCTCATATGCATCTGAAAGCTGAAGAGTGAATAATTAAGATTGAGGAACTGATGCATTTGAATTGTGGTGTTGCCAAAGAATAATGAAAAATACCCTAGACTGCCAAAAGAACAAATCTGTCTTGGAAGAGGTACAGCTGGGATGTTCCTTAGAAGCGAGAACGGCCAGACTTCATCTCACGTACTCTGGTCATGTTGTCAGAAGGGACCAGTCCCTGGAGAAGGATGTCATACTCGGCAAAGTAGAGGGGTCAGTGAAAAAGGGGAAGACCCTCCACGAGATGGACTGACACAGTGGCTACAACAGGCTCAAGCACAGCAAGGAGTGGGAGGACGGTGCAGGACCAAGAGGTGTTTTCTTCTCCTGTGCACTGGCTTGCTATGAGTTGGAACCAACTCAACAGCATCTAACATTTTTCCCCTTTAATTTTCTGACTCTTCTAGAATCTAAGCTATGGAATAGGGGAGGAGCAATTGCCTGGCTCACTAGAGTAGGGGAGGAGAATCTAAGGTTCCAAATGCTTCTTAGAGGTATTTTCAATCAATTCTTACTTCAGTCACTCTCCCTTCTGACCCCACATCCAAAAGCTACGGTGCCATCAACTCTTGAGCATCTCAGGGACAGAGAACAACTGGGCTGCTCCTTTTCTTTCTACCCCGCTAGATCACAGCAGGTCTTTCTCAAGTTGGCTAAGTAATTGACCACTGGTCCACCTGCTGCCTGCCTCCAAAATCGCGTTATTTCTTCTCCTGTACTCTCTCGTCTTTATGGAGTTACGGCCTTTCTATAAAATACCTTTTCTGACTTTTAGGGGGGAATAAAAGTAAGTGTGCGTGTTCTGTCAACTATATTTATCTCGAGGTCCCTTCAGTTTTTTAAATTATTACCACAAGATATCTTATATAAAGAAAACATTAACAAGTCCAAAAGATAAGGACTTCAATTACCACAAATGGTCTCTTTAAACAATAAAATAATAGGGTTTTTCAAAGGATTGTAGGCTCCAAAATATAATTCACACTGGGATGAGACGTATGAACTAAACTACGCAACATCTGAGTAAAGGCTAAGTCACCACTGGGACCGTACCTTGCCAGCAGCTCTTGTAAGCTCACAATGTATAACTGTATAATTCACACTGGGCTGAGCTGTATGAACTAAACTATGCAACATCTGAGTAACAGCTAAGTCACCACTGGTACCGTACCTTTCCAGCAGCTCTTGTAGGCTCACAATGTTTTGTATCTGAAGATGCCACACAGCTTCAAGCACCAAAGAATTCTGAAGAAAATAACAGCACTACTATAGTGGTTAGAGCATTCAGCTGCTGATCAAGGGCTGACAGTTCAAACCCACAAGCTGTTCTGTAAAGACTGACACCCTTGGAAACCCTATGGGGCAGTTCTACACTGCCCTCTGGGCACTGTGGATCAGAATCCACTTAATAGCAGTGGAGTTGGGTATCAGTCCTTTATATGCAAGTTTTCCTATAGCTCAATCTGGGTTAACCACCAGGCTTTACAGCAAATTAGACTGGAGTAACTAGCGCATGTTTGAAATGTTTTGTCCACCATGGTTTTCACATTCACCAACCTTTAGACACATTTCCACAGCTTTCCTTTAGTTCCTCTCTCCACACCCACTACCACAGCTTCAGTCCAGGCCTGCAGGCTTCTGCCCTCATCTCCAGCTTAGCCCACTTCCAGTCCTTCTCCACACTGTGGCCAGCACAATATTTAAAAAATAAACTGGACAGCATATACTTGTTCTCTTTAGGACCCTTCCATGGCTCCTCACAGCTTTCAGGATAAAGTTCAAACTCTTCACTTGGCACACAGGCCCTTGGTGACCTGGCCTGTATCCCTCCAGTCTTATCCTGCCCCAGATAAAAACCTTGCCCTGTGGCACCAACACACATGCCCTACAGATGCTCTGCTCATGTTCTGATCTCTGTCTGCACAGGCTGCTGTCCTTGCCTATAATGTCCCCTTTCTCTGCCCAGTCAATGCACACTCTTCCCTCAGTCAGTGTAACTTCCAGCCCTTCCAGGAAGCCTTTCCTAAGCATGCAATCTGCGGAAGGTGTTGGCTCTTCTTCATATACCTGTGAGCACCTGTGTTACCACTGTGCATGTGTGTTTACTTGCCTTCTCCCCAACAGACAGTAATCAGTGGGTGCAGAGAGAAGAGACCACATCAGTGCTCAACCAATCAAATGAACTCTGTAAGGTATGCTGCCTGCAAGAACAGGGGAAAGCCCCACAGGACAATCACCTTGGTTTTTTCTTCCTTTTTTCTATATCTTGCTGAACTTAGTATCACAAAGTAGTTACTTTGAATTCTTTCAACCCTTCAAAAATCTGTAAACCTAAGAGTTCAAACTTTTTCAAAAAAGAGCCTGTAATTTTTAAGTTACATTTTCCCAGTTTACTGTACTGCTCTGGAGAATGCTTCATAGTAATGCATGTGGGAGGGGAAAGTGCTATGCCTCTGTGACACAGCTTCTTCTAAGAAGTATGAGGGAGGCCGGGTGGAGACTGACACACAGGGCGATTGAGGGCATTCCTGGCCTATCCACAGAGGCCTATGCTAGACCCTTCTTTTTCTACTCTCTATAATTAATGAGATGATTAGAATTTCTGCAAATGCCTAGAGATTTTATTGGCTCCACCCAAATCAACAGAATATTGGTGAAAAACTCTGGTCAGAGACACAATCTCAAACTTACCTGTACTTTCCATAATTCGTGACAGAAGGAGAGACGGCAGAACATACCATTTGCCAACAAGTACTGAGCAATCCTTAGCAAGGAAGACAGTTTCTTCTGAAAAGAGAAGTTTTTTAAATTTTTTTAAATAGACAAATACCTAAAGTAATAGTCAAGCAATGTTTCATTTTCCTGAATAAGTACTGACTATACCTGCTTCCTCACTATGCTAGTGTCTTACCCTCTGCTCTGAGCTGAGCAGCACAGTGGGACTGGACGTCCCTGCAGCCTCACATATCTCTCCAATGGTGGAGGCGGTCATTCTGGCTGACAGGATTCCCACTGGAACCCCTAGGCTCAAGGCTTGATCCTGCAAAGCAGAGCCTGAAAGACAAAACCAGATCTTTATTTTCCTTTTTTTAAAAAAATTTTATTTTTTTTATTGTGATTTGGGTGAAAGTTTACAGAGCAAATTTGTTTTCCATACAACAGTGTTTCATGACATTGACTACAATCCCCACAACATAACACCTCTTCCCACTTCTCCCTGGGGCTACTTGTGCCCTTCTTTCCTAGAATTCCTGTCCTCTGATCTATCTCCCTGTGCAGATATTGCCCTTCTGATCTCCCACGGTTGACTGTTCTAAGGACTCTAAGGTTCTAAGGTACCTACCTACCTGGTGTAAATGTTCCCTGCATGCCTATCTATTGTTTGACTGGAAGCCATGGGAGTGAGTTCAATTTCAGGCACAAAGGAAGACTAGGGGCCATAGTACCAAGGGTTTCACCAGTCTCTATCAGACCAGTAAGCCTAGTTTTTTGTTTTTTTTAACATTTTGAGTTTTGTTCCACGTTTTTCTCCTACCCTACCCAGGATATCCTATTGTGATCCCTTTCCGAGTGGTTACCAGTGGTAGCCAGGCACCATCTAGTTCTTCTGGTCTCAGGGTCATATAGGCTGAGGTTGACATGGTCTACTAGTCCCTTGGGCTAATTATTTACATTTATCTCTGGTTTTCTTCTTTATTCTTTGCTCTGGATGAGGAGCAACTCACCATTGCATCTAGAGGGCTCCTTGCAAGGTTTTTTTTTTTTTTTAAATACATTTTATTGAAATACAATTTATGTACAGTGAAATACACAAAATTAAAGTGACATGGGTCGCTTTTTTTTTTTTTTTTTTGCAGTGTTCCCTCCCTTCCCCTTCCAACCCTGGCAACCAGCAAAGTAAGTTTCTCTCCATATATAAACCTTCCCTTGACCCTTCACAACAATGAACTAATCCTATATTTGTCCTTCTATGACTGACTTCACTCAGCATAATGTCCTCTAAGTTCATCCATATTATGTAGTGTTTTGCACACTCTACGTTATGCTTTAGTGCTGCATAGCATTGCATGGTGTGTATGTACCATAGTTTGGTCCTCCACTCTTCCACTGCTGGGCATGTACATTGTTTCCATCTTTTTGCTATTGTAAATAGTGCTGCGATGAACTTGGGTATGCATATATCTGTTCCTGTCCTGGCTCTCACCTCTCTGGGCTATATACCAAGTAATGGGATTGCTGGGTCAAATGGTATTTCCAATTCCAGATTTCTAAGGAATCACCATATTGCTTTCCACAGTGGTTGTATCACTTCACAGTCCCACCAGCAGTATATGAGAGTCCCAATCTCTCCACATCCCTGCCAGCATTTGTTATTTCCTGTCTCGTTGAACCTTGCCATCAGTGCTGGGGTGAGACGGTATCTCATTGTGGTTTTGATTTGCATCTCTCTGATGGCCAATGATTGTGAGCATCTCTTCATGTGTTAGCTGGCCACCTGAATATCCTCCTTGGTGAAGTGTTTATTCATGTCTTCTGCCCATTTTTCAAATGGATTGTTAATTCCTTTGTTTTCTATAAATCTTAGAGACAAGTCTCTTGCCAGATACATAATTATCAGCAAATATTAATTTATTGCTGTTATTTTTGTTATGGGCTTTTTCATGGCGTCAATTTCTTTGTTCCATATAATTTTCTGTGCTGAGCTCGTTTTGTATATGAATTGTGTTATCACTTCCTTCATTGCTATTGTTTTAGTATTTGCTAAATATTTGTGCTGGTCCTTTTTTTTTATTTTGATGTAAAGGTTTATCATTTTTCTTTGAGGTTACCCTCTGATTTATAGTTTTCTTCCCAAGTTTAGCACAGTCCATTCTATCCTGTAGTTGTCTTGACTTCCCTACTGTCTAGAAGTTCTATAATGACAGTTTTTTCCCTCTTTTTAGTTTGCAGTTGTCCTCAATTGTCAACTGATGTCTCTGGTTCCCTGTTGACAATCTTGTAGGTGCATTTACTCTGGATACTTCCATAGCTGGGCTGGTTTCTGGGTTGTATCATCATATGTGTTAACAGTTGTTGTTTGCTGTTGTTGCTTCTCTGTCCAAAGGGCTCCCTTTAGCATCTCTTAATTATAAGGTTGGTCTGGTTTTAACAAGTTCCCTTAATTTCTGCTTATCTGGAAATGCCCTAATTTCACCATCATATTTGAGGGACAATTTTGCTGGATACATAATTCTTGGTTGGCAATTTTTCCCTTTCAGGGTTTTATATATACCATCCCATTGTCTTCTTGCCTGCATGGTTTCTGTCAAGAAATCCAAGCTTACTCTTATTGGTTGCCCCTTTTGATTTTTCCCATGCTGCTTTCAGGATTCTTTCGTCTTTGGTTTTGGTGAGCTTGACGATAATATATCTTGGTGATTTTCTTTTGGGGTCTATCCTGTTTGGGGTTCGTTAGACTTCCCGAACGATTACATTCTCATCTTTCATCATACCATGAAAATTCTCTTCCAACAAATCGACAATTTTCTCTGTGGTTTTATTTATCTCTTCCTTTTCTGGAACTCCGATTACATGTAGGTTATTCCTTTTGATGGTATCCTACATGAAACTTAAGCTTTCTTCATTTTGTTTTGATGTTGTTTCTGATCGATCCCTTTCCAAAGAAGTAGTGAGGAATTTGCCTTCAACCTCACTAATTCTGTCTTCCATTGATTCACAGTTCTGCTCCTTTGCCCATTCAATGTCTTATCTATTTCTGAAAATTTAGTATTAATATTCTGGATTTCTGTCTGTAGATTTTGTATCATTTCTAATTTTTCATTAATTTTGTTGTTTTAATCTTGTATTATCTTCTGAAATTGTTGTAGGGTTTTCTGTTTTCCTCCATTTTGTCAGTGTTTTCCTTGATCTGCCTCTCAATTCGTTGAAGATACTTAAATGTAATTCTTTTGAATTCCTTATCAGGGAGTTCTAATGCTGTATCTTCCTCAGGGCTGTGTTTTGGGTCTGTATCCTGGTCCCTTGTTTCTCCTGCTTTATCTTGCTTCTTTGAGTGGACTGTGATGCTCTGTTGTCTCTAAGGCATTGTCACATTTTTGTGTTTATATTTATTTGGTGATTGTATGTTGGAGTGACTTGCCCATGATTTTCGTTTTGTGTTGGCTGTATGTTAGCTACATAAGCAGGGTACTGTGCTGTGCTCCTCTATTCACTAGTTGACAGCACTTGTACACTCACCACCTGTTTCCTCTCCTGTTGTCAGCCTCTTGTGTGTCCCTGCCGACATAGGTGAAAAGAGCCTTTTCTTAGGTTCCTGGAATCCAGATGAGAATGCTATCACTTTAAAATCTAAAAGGGCTACCACTTGTAAACACTCAAATGGCTGCACCCTCAGTCACTTTAAATATCCAAAATGGCCACCGCTTATAAACATTCAAAATGGCTGTGCCCTTGCTCACTTTAAATATCCAAAATGGTTGTCGCATGTAAACAATCAAAATGGCTACACCCTCCAGACAGCAGAAAGTCAACAGCTCAGGTTGTCTCCCTCCTTGCTGTTTCCCCTCCTAGTCCACAGGCTACCAGCGCAATCGTCCCTGCAGCCCTTGGTGACCAGGGCTGATCTTTAGGTCAATTATCAGGTTCCAACACCACTTGGAAATATTCAGGCTGTTGGTCCCGTCAGAGTAGCCGACAGTCTGTAGCTCCATCTCCGTACTCACTGTTTTTGTTCAGGTTTTTCCACTAGTTAGTACCTAATCTACTTCTGTATAGTTCTTTTCAAAGCTCAGGGCTCCAGGATTATCTTCTGTATCTCTGTCAATTGGTTTTTTTTTTTCTTTGTTGAAGAGGGTCTTTTTAGCTTGTCTGCCTAGTCCTCCATCTTACCAGAAGTCCTATTTTCCTCTTAAAACGTGGCAATACATACTACTAAATTTAAGAGAAGATGAACAGATAAAAATGCCTTATTTTAAGTTGTAGTATCATAGAAAATTGCCTTTCAAAGGGGAGGATAGATCTACCAGGAAAACATTAAATAAAATTAAGATACTTTCACAACTGGAGCAGCTGACAAGAGAACAGGTGAAGCCCACAGTTGCACATACAAATGTGTGTGTTTTGTATGAAATAAAATGCAATATAGGTGAGCAGACCTATAATGACCAAGAACTTCACCCTCCTCAGAGGAAGACAATAATGGGAACTTCAAGGAGCTCTCTTTATTCACTCATTTTTCTAGTGACTTCCACATCACAGGCACACCTGCTTCCACTGATGTTACACTAAAATCTGAGCCTAATTGGGTCAGGGTTTCCTACAGCTCCATCATGCACCCAACACAGGGCAGCAGAGAGGTCAGTGTCTGCAGGCTGCCAAACAGAACCAGAAGCCGGTTCATAAGAGCCACCAGCCTTCTGAGTGACCCATCTCTGGACTGACTTCAAGAGAATGAGAAACACTGGGGAAACGTGGGAGCATAGAATGCCTGTTTCATTTCACTTGCAAAATTAACTTTCAGAAAGAAAAAAAAAAAACGCAGTAGATGTACTTCATCTTTAAAGTTCTAAAAATGCTTATACAGCACCAATATTTATAGCAGCCTCAAATGACAGTATTAAAAATTACCAAGTGCTGTGGTCAAAAAGGAGCTCTGGTGGCACAGTCATTAAAGCACAGCTGCGTCAGTAAAGATCGACAGCTTTGGAAACCCAGTGGGGTAGTTCTACCACACTAGGTTGCTGTGAGTCAGAATCAACACAGTGGCAGTGGGTTTTGGTGGTCAAGAAAGGATTTATGGCAAAAAGCTAGAAAATAATGCTAATTTCTAGCCACTTAATTCCATGGCAAAGTTCATTTCTGCTTTTATTTACAAGGCTAACTTTTACCTTTTTAATACAAGTATGAATAAGCATGGCAGACAGTATCTTCAGCAGGAAAACGAACTAAAAAATTCTTGAGTTAAGAGTCTATTTATACTTCTGTGGTGAGGTTAAGAGCTTCCTTAAATAAGTTCTTACGCCTTGATTCAAAAGCCCTTTCAAGGTCACATACCCTACCAAAAAATAAGTCCACACAAGAGCTGGGGGCAGAGCTTGGGTCCCTGTAAGGATGACGCTTAATCTGTGAAACTCAAATACAATTACACAAATGAAAAGCAGTAGATTCACCAATGACCTTAAGTAATCAGCTGTCAAGGCAGGCCCATTACTGAAGTATATTTTACTAGAAATCTAAAACAACTCAATGGATTCAATAATGCCTCTTTCTGAAACAAGTCATTACGTAAGAAGAACTTCCCGAGTCATACTCTCAAACGTGGGGTGGGGGGAGCCACCAAACAAACAAACAAAAATAAACGCACTGCCATCGAGTCAGATCCAACTCATAGCGACCCCTCCCTGGGCTTGCGAGGCAGCGTCACTATGGAAGTAGATTGCCCAACCTTCCTTCTGAAGAGTGGCTGGTGGGTTTGAACTGTCAGCCTTCTGGTTAGTGGTCAAATGCCTTAGGTACCCCACCACCAGAGCACAAGCACTTACAAACACATTCTGGTTTCTGCCTGCTCTCCTGCCCCAGTTTTCACCTCCTCTGTGGATGAGGTGCCCATCTGTCCTTACTGTCCCATGTGCTGCCGACCCGTCTGCTGAGTCAAACTAGTTGTAAGCAGAAGCATCATAAAGAGTCAAAAAGCAAGGCACAACAATGTTTTATAATTCACAACCACATACATAAAGCATTGCTGCTGGTGTTAGCTGCTGTCAAGTTGATGCCTACTCCTGGCAACCCTGTGTGTGTAGAGCAGTCCTGCTCCACAGGGTTTTCAAGGCTGTGACCTTCCAGGAGAAAATTGGCAGGCCTGTTTTGTGAGGTGCCTCTGGGTGAATATGAACGATCAATCTTGGGCTAGTGGTTGAGTGCTAAATATGCATCACTCAAGGACTGCATACATACACAAACAGAAAACCACTGATTTGGAGAATTTAAATTTTTCTATAAAACAGTGTCACTTTATATAAAAAAAACTCCACAACTGCACATATTAGGAAAATGAAGCTGTAACTCACCTACGAATGCATCAGAAGGATTAGTGTAGGCCTCAGGACTGTCATAACCCACCAATTTGCTGAGACACAATTTTTCACTCTGTGGACCTTCAACCTAGAAACCAAATCACAAAGAGCTCCATGTTTAAAATTCATCAGTGTATGCTAAACCACCTGCATATACATGACGCTGGCTTACTGGGCTAGTCTCAAATATGCTGAAATGAAAGGCTTACTCACACCGCTTGAGAATTATCATTCATTTTTCAACTTCTTTTATCTCCCAAGAGATAAATCCTCCCTAGTCAACATTTAATGATGCTTTCACCAGATACTCACTTGGCTTCCAAGCACCTTTTTAGGAAGATTACACCTTGGCTGAATTCAGAAAGCCCAAAAGTAAATCTGCCCGTGAAGGCAGCGCAGTGTCCTCTCACCTCAAGCAGAAGGTCGTCCAGGTTTAGGTGGCTTCTCAGCAGGTGCACGGCAGCTGCCTTTACCTCCTGTCGCCTCTCAGGACTGCATTTTCGCTTTTTAACCCTTCCCGCTGAGAAGGAAAACAATCAGTCAGAGACCACAGCACCACTTCCAAACTCATATGGGAAGACGTGGTGGCACTCAGCCCTGATCCGATGCAGTGAGGACACACGGGGGTTCTGGGGTATTCTGCCCGACAATGCATGACCTCAATCTAACCTGGAGCAAGTATCAGACGGACCCGAGTGAAGGGCGTCCTACAAGACAAGGCACCCTCCTGTTTGAGAACGTGTCAAGGTCCTGGAAGAGGACACGTGGGTGAAGTGTCAGACAGGGGCCTGCGGGACAAGAGGATCCGCTGCAACGCAGGAGCCTGCAACGCAACAGGGGCGCGCAGGCAGCTCCCGGGCATGCCAACTGAAACCAAACGGCTCATGAGCATCCGGCGACCACAGGAATGCAACGCGTCACCCCGTGCAACCGGGCTGATGTCGTGGGTAATAGTCACCCCTGCGGTTGGTAAGGCCGGACCGTGTCCCTTGTACTCTTAGCGGGACGAATAGGGACAGGGCATGGTTTTGGGGTGGCTGCTGAGGAAAGGGGCGTGGAGGGCCAAGGGGGACGTGACGGGGGACAAGGAGGGAAACCAGGCTGGAGTGCGGCGGGCACCGGGGCGCTCGGCTCCCTCCACGAGGGAGCAGTGTGGACCCGGAGACCGGCCAGAAGATGCTCAAGTGTAAAGCGGTCTCGGGGCCCAGGGATACCTGCCGCCTGCTCCTCGGGAAACTGCTGGGCTCCCGCACCCACCTACCCAGCAGCTCAGACAAGGACTTCCTGAGGGCTCGCGGGCCCGGGTCGGCTGCAGCTTCTGAGGCCCGCGAGTCCGACATAACTAGACAGCCGCGCCTTCTGACTCCGGGTAGCGGCGCCTGAGCCCGCGCTGACCTCCCATTGGCCGCGACCAGACGCGCGTACCCATTGGCTGAGGTCGTATGATCACGCCCCTCTTGGGGCGGAAGCCCCCGGGCGGCCATCTTTGTAGTGGTAAGGGCGAGGGGCGTGGGGACGAGATTTGCGGTTCTATGCTGGCGGTGCGGTTCCAAACCGCGATCCGCGCGAGACCACGGTGGCGTGCCTTATTTACTGTTCCGGCCGAGAATTCGCCAGAGCTGCTCACGAAGACACAACCTGACAAACCCAAACGACGTGCTACAAAACCGCTGTCCCTTTACAAAGCCGGGCTCCGCTGGGGACGGCGTCTGACCCAAACGTTCCACCGCGCTCATTGCCGACTGAGCTGATCCCAAGAGAAAATCCCTGGGTTTATCTTCCACTGCAGATGACTAATTCTGTTCTGCGACTCTTTCTCCTTATCCTTGCCCTTTGCCCTCCCAAAACTAAGGCCTCAAGAGAATAGGTAAATCTGCGTGAGAGGAACCCCCTCCCGCGCCCCCCATCTGTTCAACACCTGGACTTCACCTTCCTGACACCTGTGCTCAATATATGGGGACACTGCCCTCATCCGTGACAGTCTGTGTGTGGAAATAACTAAGAATGGAGGGAAGTTGTGACGACTCATTTTCCCACCAAATATTTGGGACAGGGGTGAGATTCTCACAAGACAGGATCACAGGCCCAGCCCCTGATTGAAAGACGTTTGCAGCTGAGAACCCACAAACGCCGCCACTATGGGAGGCTATTCAGGTTGCAACTCCATCCCTCAGCAGATGGTCACCATGACTCTGATATGAGCCCTCCTTTACCCCAGAATGAAACATGACCCACCCCTACCCCCCATAGTAAATGTGTCTCTGGTTGGTATAAGTGTGATTATGCATCACATGTGGCCTAGCAAGCACTGTTTGGGACTGGAGACACCCTAAATGAGTCTCATAGGACAGTGAGGAACACTGAGAGGACTCAGGACCTAAGCCACACAGGCATGCTCTAGAGCCAAGTGTGATGGTGAGAATGAAGGCGGGGGTGGGGCACAAGGAACAGACCAGATTACAGGAGGAGAAATGGCTGCAGCTCATTCTCAAATACAAACTTGGGTTGATGAGAGCCAGGAAGACCTCTGGGGGAAGCAAGGGACCTGTTGTACATTTTATTCTAAATAGCTAACCTCCTCCCACTCCAGATTGTGCCCCTGACCATCTAAAACAACACAGCAGAACTGTGCTTCACACACCCTTTGAGATTATTTGAGGAGGAAAGGTTCTTAGGTTTTGGGGAACACCATTCCCATTTGGCCAGGCGTCACTGGGAGAAAAGTCTTCTCCCAAGCTGCTGACAGGGATGGAGCCCTGATTGTCTTAATGATTTAAATTAGTAATAAAATCAGACTTACTCATGTTCTCCTAATGCTTGCCAAATTCCAAAGTATAGACATAACAGGTACCTCTTCTTCAAAATGACTAAATAGCATCCTCTAAACAAGTGAAATGACTGAAGAGCTTTATAAAATGCACTGGCACACAGTAGCAAGTTCACCTACCAAGTCGGAAAGGATGTGGTGCTCAGAGCTCTCAGGCAACTGCAGACCCCAACGCCCCACCTCGGAGGGCAGTGTGCTCTCTGGCCCCAGCTGACGCCCTCGACCTGTGTTTGCCGGCTCAGTTCTGTGCTTGTTGAGGACATTGTTGGCAGCTGTTCTGGTAGGGCCAGTGGATGGCTTCAGTGCACACTTCACATATTCATCGGCAACACCAGTACTCTGGAGTTTCTCTCATTGGAAATGATTGTGTTGCTCTGTCTGATTGCAAGAGAAGTTGGCTGACGATGATTTAAGCCTGGATGTGACTCTTCTAATCAGGAAGGCACTAGATTTGAGAGAAAAGTAGACTTTGTGAGACCCTCTCCTGCTAAGTGCCCAGGCAACTCAGAAAGGGACCAAGCCAAGGAATACCTTTATGCCTTAGTTTCCCCATTTGTAAAACCAGCCCCAACAGAGGCTATCTTAGTCTCCTAGGGCCAGTATGACAAAATAGCACAATCTGGGCAGCTCTTAAGAACAAAAATGTACTGTCTCCATTCCAGGGGCCAGAAGAGCAAATCAAGGTGTTGGCCATGCGGGTCCCCCAGAGGTTCTAAAAGAGGAGATGTCCACGCCTCTCTGCTAGCTTCGGGTGGCTCCTGGCAGTCATTGGTGTTATTTGGCTTGTGTTTGCCATCTGCCTCCTTTATCATAATGCATCTGTTCCTCTGGCTGACTGGCTCTGTGTACCTCCTCTTTTATAAGACCTCATGTTAAAAATAAAACAAAACAAACCCACTGCCAACAAGTTAATTCCGACTCACAGCTACCCTGTAGGACAGAATAGAACTGCTCCATAGGGTTTCCAAGGCTGTTAACAGAAGCAGACTGACACATCTTTCTCCCACAGAGCAGCTGGCGGGTTTGAACTGCCAAACTTTTGGTTCACGACCAAGCGCTTTAGCCACTGCGCCACCAGTGCTCCTTGACCTCATGTAACCTAACTGAAAGCATCTTCATAGGCCCTATTTCCAAACAAGGCTACCGTTATAGGTTCCAGGGCCTAGGACTTCAAACCATCATTTTGGGGTACATGATTCAACCCTTAACAGCTGCCCAGGAGTTTCCCTGTGAGGGTGAGGGGTCCTACTGATATCTGCACACCTTGAGGGGAACACGTGAAAGTCCAGAGCTTTGTGTTCAGGGCCAAGTGTTACCTGTAGTGCTGGGACCAGAGCCAACGCCTTGCTCACTGAGACCCACACAGAGGAGATTGGCACACAAGGAGATCCCCTCACCCTAAGACATTCCTCAAGAGGACAGGCTGGCCCTGGTGAGTTGACGCACATTTTTTTAATTTTTTAATTGTGATTTGGGTGACAGTTTACAGAGCAAATTCACTTTCCATATAGCAGTTCACATACACTTTGTCTCATGACATTGATTACAATTTACCCCAATGCAACACCTCCCCTCCCACTTCCTCGCCATAGTTACCTCTTTCCTGTGTCCATCCCTCATGCTTTCCTGCTCCCTGAGCTGTTCCTGGGCATACACAGCCCTTCTATTCTTTTGTGATTGTTCTCTCCAAGGAGTATATCTACCTCAGGTAAATGTTCAACTCATATGCCTATCTTTTGTTTGGCTGGAAGCCACAAGTGTGGGTTCAATTCCAGACCTGAAGGGCAGCTACGGGCCATAGTCTCAGTGGGTCCACGAAGCTCTATCAGACCAGCAAACCTAGTCCCCCTTTTTTTTTCCCCAAATGATTTTGAGTTTTGTTCCACAATGTTCTCCCTCTCTATCCAGTGTCTCCTATATAGATCCCCCTCCGAGTGGTTGACAGCGGTAGCCAGGCACCATCTAGTTATTCTGGTCTCATAGTTGTATAGGCTGCAGATCAGATGGTGTACCAGTCGCTAGGACTAATTGTTTCCATGAATTTTTGGTTTTCCTCATTCTTCTTTGTTCTGGACAAGGAGAGACCCATGGTTGCATCTGGATGGCTGCTTGCAAGCTTTTAAGATCCCAGTCACTACTCGACAAAGTAGAAGGTGGAACAATGTTTTGTGTAGTATGTTATGCCAGTTGAGCTTGACAGCACATTTTTCCATGGTTCCACATCACAGGAGCACTCTACCCTGTGTCCTCATGACCATGCAGCAGGTTGCCAAAGCCAACTCCTGTCTCTGACTTGTACTTCCCAGAAGAACCTATTTCTATGGAATTATGTGGGTGAATAGCCGCCACTCACAGCCACATTTAGAAGCTGGATCGTCCCAAATTCCTGGAGTACATCTGATGAAGAAGGAGATGGAGGCAGGTGGGAGAAGAAATACGTGGGTGCTGGCAGGAATCGGGGAGAGTCTGTTGCTGAAAACCTTTTATAGTATCTGCTACTTTAGGCCAACTAAAGAAAACCACACCAGAAAGCTGGCTTAACACTGTGTGCACACACATGCACACACACCACACACACAAACATGCCATACACACATGCACATATACACATACACAATCGACAAGCGTCGATTGTTCCCCTATTGTGTGCGAGGCACTGTTACAAGGTACTTGGGCACAGGAGCGCCCTCATACAGAACTGGGTAAGGGGATGATGGTGCACCCACCCACATGCAGTTGTACAGAGGAATGCAGGAGCTCTGTCCACAGATACGAAACATTCCCCCATGCTGGAGTGAAGACAAACCACAGAGAAGGAGGTGGTTTATGGTGCCCTCTGGGAAAAGGGTCACACACACACACACACACACACGTTTATGTACATGTGTGCAACAAGCATGCAACATTTCTGTAAGGATAAATGAGAGACCAGTCAGTGGTGTCTCAGACAGACGTACTGAGAGGTGGGCTCAGTGCAGGGTGGAAGACCTTTCAGGTTATACCTTTTTGTACCTTTGGAACATACCACCACCACCAGGTGCTGTCACATCAGTTCTGGTTCATGGTGACTCCATGGGTGTCAGAGGGGAACTAGGCTCCACAAGGTTTGTAAGGCTAATTTTTCAGAAGTAGATCAGTAGGGTTTTCTTCCAAGTTGCCTGTGGGTAGATTTGTATAAAAAGGGTGTGGGAGTGGCATCTGACCTCCTCTAACTTCACAAGGGGAAGGAGGACCCAGAACAACACCAACAGCCCAAGGCTGATTCCTATGAGGTAGAGGTCAGACTTGCCGCCACCCTCCAAACTTTTTACCAACTCTGACACCAACCATCCTTCCCACGGCACTCTCTACTTCTCTGCTGGGTTTGATGATTCAATGCAGTGGCCACGCAGAACTCACAGACAATACTCACGATTATGGGGTTTATCAGAGAAGTAACAGGTTGCAGTTCAGGTTCAGGAACACTCAGGATACAATTCTCTGATCAAGACAACCTCCCTCAGCCATGCCCAC